CTAATAGTAAGCCTTTATAATAAGCTTACTGGCGCGCATCCTGCACGGTAACTCATACCCCAGTAAACAACCGCCATTCACTATAACAACAAGGGGAATAGGAGGTGGATAAGAAGGACGCAGCAGCAACCTGCAAACTTGTCACGCCAATAGGTGAGAGGAAGAACGGTTTCAGAGAAGTGGTGACCAACAAACGTTGGGCAGCATATTATTTACTTCTTTTTGTGGGGATTTCTTAAAGAACTCTCGTGCCGAAAGAAAGCAGGAAGGGAATCATAATTCTGAATACTGAAAATTCCATTGGCAGCATCACATCGGAAGATCTTACTCATGGTGAAAAGGATTGATGCATGTCTTCAGAAAAATGCAGGACCAATGGAGGACAATTCAGCGTGTTTCGTGAACACCCGTTTGTCTTTATATTCAGTAAGGTGTGAAATGTGGTGTTTTATGTTTGGGCACGTCTGTGTATGTTGCAGCGTCATTATGTAGTGAGATGAGGTTTCGGGGCTGTAACGTCATGTAGTTCGGAGAGCCCGAAGGAACATATAGCTTCCATCTTCAGGGTCGAAGAGTAAGCCAAACAACAAACCAGCTGAAGCACGCGACAAGCTCCTTCAAGCTGCTCCTCCCGCATACGAGCGGACCGCGCTCTGTACAACGTGACTTGTGCAAACCACGTGATTGAGTTCACCAATTACGATACAGCTGACGTCCAAAGTCACGTTGCACATGTCGTGGGTATTAGCGGATGCTATTGTACAGTTATTGTTAGTTCGGAATAGTCGAAAGTGGGTGACAGCTGTGAATTCACTGTATCATGTTTCCCAGTTCGCTGAAATTCAGCTGGTAATCGTTTTCAACATGAATTGTGTGTCAAGGATAGGCAGTAATCAGTGTTTTGGCTAAATTAATTATGAGCGAGGCAAACAGCGCAAAGCATACCGTACATTGGTTTCGAAAGGGACTTCGTCTACATGACAATCCAAGTTTGCGTGAAGGATTAAAATGTGCTACAACATTCCGTTGTGTTTTTATTTTAGACCCTTGGTTTGCTGGCTCATCAAATGTTGGAATTAACAAATGGAGGTAAGTACTATGTATAGCTTATTGAACGTTATAGCACCTCACCAACACTTTGGGGCTTGCGTGTCTGGGACTGGGAATTGACATGTAATTCTTTGACTGAACACTGTGTTCAGATTTAGTTAACACTAACAAGAGCGTATGTTTGTGTACGAAGTGCAGGAGATCTGTCATACCAGTGCTGTGTAATCCAGCAGTCGATGAGAAAATATCATGGCCGGATTTACTGCTTGAAGGTCCCAAAAGGGTTTTTTCCTACCACCTTCAGACCGGCTCTGCAAACCAGGCATCATTCCTCCCCACCGATTTAAAAATAATTAACTATACAAATATTAATAAAATCTGGGGCCTGGGCGTGAAAGTGATCTCTCATCTCCATCTTATCCAAAGGTAAAATAAATAATGGAACAATACTTCCACTCCCTCACACATTCTTGTGTTGAGATGCTTAAGTAAGCACAAGGACAGCTTTGCTCTCACCTTATTTGTAAAACCAAGTAACAGTGTCAGTTAGCTTGATCGCATCATTATGTAAGATAGATCTTGTTAACCCATTCATGAAATGTAGCTTTTTTCTTGTCTGTCTTTTATTCTCCCATGAAATTGCAAATGTATACATGTTATACATTTATGTGATGTTTGTTCTAATGATGTGTGATTGTATACATAATGGGGAGAAGGATATTAAGAAATAGACATGCACGTGTAAATCTCTTGATGTTGAGGTTCTCACATTTTCTACACAATTGGCTCATAGATGGCGGCGAGGTTGTCAGTCCTACGCGCTGGCCACCCTTTACCCCCAAGAATATTTCAAGAATATTCCTGGTACTCATTTCTGTTAGAGGCTGAGTCAACCCCAGGGCCAGGGCTGGAAGGATTAGGTCAATTGAAAAAACTCCAATGACTACATCGGGATTTGAACCCGCGACCTCCCGGCTTGTAGCATAATGCCTCAACCAACTACGCTACCGCGTAGCTCTAGACCTTCAGGTGAAATGTGTTAAATCATTCAGTTTTCCATTTGTATATATATACCTTTCAGGATTCGTCATCCATACGTCGTATCTCAATACGCGAGTCACGCCAATCCTCCTCTGTGGGAGCACTCTTCCTAAATTCATGTGTATATTGTGTTCTTTGTTGTGTCTTGCTCCTGTGACCCTCTCTCCTGAAATGTTTTCGTATTTAGAATTTGTTGTTATACATGACGAATGCGCATTTTAGTCATTTTATGATGGCGAAGTGATGGCATGCAGTGCAGTAGTTTGACGTGGACAGAGACACACCTGAAGATGGCACATTGGTGCCGAAACATGTAGTGTAAAAGTGAAGAGGAAGGTGAAATTGTGGGCACTGTAAGACGGTTAGCAAAAATACACATCATGGACATGAATCAGTGCAACAGGACGCTAAAATATAACACAACGTATACATGTTTGTAGGCCATAGTTAAGCAACAAACTGCATGGAGCTGAGCCCTTCTAGAGAATATGCCAGTTGTGCAGTTACTCAAGAATTTCCCAATATTTTATTAAACCCAAAGGTTCATTACCATATTCACAAGAGTCTTCCACTGGTCCCTACCCTGAGCCAGATCAATCTAGTCCATACCTCCCAATCCTGCCTCTCTTAGATCCATTTTAATATTGTCCACCAATCTACCTATAGGTCTTCTTAGTGGTCTCGTTCCTTCTGGCTTTCCCACCAATATCCTCTATACATTCCTCTTCTCCCCTATTCATGCTACATGCCCTGCCAATCTCATCCTCATTGACTTGATCATTCTAAATATATTTGGGGAACAATACAAGTTATGCAGTCTTCTCCAGCCTCCTGTCATTTATCCCTCATTGGTCCAGATCTTCTCCTCAGCACCTTGTTCTCAAACACCATCAGTTTGTGTTCCTCCCTTAATATCAGAGACCAAGTTTCACACCCATACAGAACCACAGACAAAATGTAATTTTGTATATTGTAATTTTTATGTTTCTAGACATCATAGTTCGCTTGCGGACTAAGATCACGGAGTTTAGTTTAGTTAGGCAACAGATGAGAAGACCAAAGGTTCTAGACTGAATGGCAGCAAGCATTATCTAAATTCACCCTCCTCTTAATTTCCTCCTGAATCAGATTTTGATTTGTTATTGTCGTTCCTGAATGTTTGAACCGTGCCACATTTTCAAAGGATCTGTTAGCTGACTTTATGTAATGATTTTACCCTGCATTCTGGTGACGAGACAGCAAAGTATACTCAGTTTTCTCTGCGATTACCTCCTTACTATCCAATAGATCACTGTGGTCGCAGTGCAAGGGCCAAAGAGGCCCACCCCTTATACATTCATCATCAGGGTTTCCCGTTTTCGTTTACGCAGTCGTTACCTCCCAGTAGATTCACACCATCAGAATAGACCAGCAGCTGATGTGTCCCATTTAATTTCAGTTCCACCCGGTTTTCCTGTCATGTTTGAGGTGAAGATTAATGCCTCAAGTGCCATATTCCGCATTTCTGGATGTCATAAACACACTGAAAACAAATCCGGACATGCATGTCCCGCGTGATGGTTCAGTAAGGCCCCTTTGTTCGAACTTCTCTAGCGTGAAGGGGATGGCTATCCATTTTGTTATTTAATTAATGAAATAATTCTTGATGGCTCTACATGACCCTACAGACTGACGTCAACACTGATTTCGCCACGTGACGAGACACCTGCGCCCCGCACGCTGCACTGCTCAGCGAATGCTTGCCAACGTGATACGCTCCGGCAGCAAACTATACACGGCGCGGGCACGTTGAGTTGTTGACAGCTAATTTCAGGTTCTTCGGTACAACAGCTGTGAACAGTAGCGCCTTCTGAGGCACTGGGAGAGTGCCGTGTTTGTAGGTTATTTGACGACTGAAGGCTGTATAGCGTAGAATGATCGGATGTCAGTGCATTAAAAAGGTAATGGAAGAAATCGATCGTGACCCAATTTCAGGTACTATCCTGGCATTCCATGTTAAGTGGTTCCCCAGTTGCCACGTCATGGCGCGTCCTCAGGTTGCCGATGGAGGGGACGACCTCCTTTCTTACGAAGTAGAATCGTAGCGCACAGAAAACTGTGCTCTTCGGATAATTAATAAGTCGAATTTACCGATCAGGTTGGCACGAGCGGTTCCGCTTTTGACTTATATTCAGGAGATACCTGGTTCACATCACGAGACGGGAGACGGGTCTCCTGACTGAAATTTTCGTAGTTTTTCTCAGTCCCTGAAGGAAAATGTCGGAACTGTACCTCAATTTAGGCCACTGCCGCTTACTTGCACATGCTTTCCGCGTCACATGATCGTGTCACTCATCTCGCATGTTTTGTTTGCCCCCGATAGTACTAAACTGATTACTATAACAGTTGGCCTTGGAGATGTAGCAGCCTACACTAAACTTTTTCAGTCATATTTAACGGCGGTAGAATATTGTGCTCCTTTTGTGAAGCTTAGCTCGACCGCCTCTGACGTCTAGTGGTTAGAGTTCCTGTTTACACATCCAGAGGTGCCGGGTTCGATTCCCGGAGCCACCAGATTTTATGAGAAGTAATGGGTGTGGAACGGGGTCCACTCAGCCTCTTGAGGATAACAGAGGAACTATTTCAAGGAAATAGCGGCTCCGGTCTAGAAAATCGAGATTAACGGCCGTGGGGATCCGTCGCGCTGACCACGTGACACCGTCTATCCGGAAAAGTGAGCAGTAACTTCGCCGGCAGCCGGCGGTCCCTTGGTCGATATAGTTCGCTTGCGGACTACAGACCACGGAGTTTTTGTTTTGGAGTTTTAGCTCGAACTTTACCATTGTGCCCTAAAAGGGTTCATCGTACGAAACAGTGGTACGTAACGTGTTAATCCAATTAAGGTTTGCTCATATTATTGAAATGTTTTTGTTGCTCTAAATGTAAGGAAAATTAATTTTTCACCCTGCACAGCTTGTAGTGTGACTGGCTTTGAAGCAGTACATTTGTATCTGTTCCGTGAACACCGTTCACTTGGACAATGAAGTGTTGTTTCCATTCTTATTTCACGATGGCCTTTAAGGTTTTGTAATTTGGCATTCTCCAATGTCCAAGATTTTCATACAAAAACATGGAAGTTTCGGATGTGGTGTCTGTTTCCATGTAAAGGTGGAAAGGGTATTAAATTCGTACTCTGTTCTGACGCTCGTCGGAAAATGGCGGTTTAACAGAGAGCCAACATCAAATTTTGTTTGAAGTTAGGCAAAACAGCCAGAGAAGCGTACGAAATGATGAAAAGTGTGTACGGTAGTGATTGTTTGAGTCGCTCGAACATTTTTCGATGGTATGCTGTATTTCGTGACGGCAAGGAGGACATCGAAGACGCTCCACGTGCACCAAAGCCGAGAACAGGTCGCACTGAAGAAAATTTGAAAAAAGTGACCGAAATCCTTGCATAGACAGATGTGTTTCTGCAAGGCTCATTGAGAAGCTTTTGGGAATACGAAAAAGTAATGTGCATCACATTTTGACCGAGGATTTGGGTAAACGGAAGGTCTGTGCGCGGTTTGTACTGCACGCGCTGTCAGGCGATGAAAAACACGCGAGAGTGGAACACTGCGAAGACATGTTACGGACGGCCCTAAGTGATACAAAATTTACAACATCGATTGTTACTGGTGACGAAACATAGTGTTTTCAATATGAACCTCTCACAAAGCGGCAGAGTGCAGCGTGGTTGAGCCCAAAGAAGCCGAAACCAAAGAAAGGGCGCATGCAAAAGAGTCGAGTAAAGATACTGCTAACCGTTTTCTTCGATTCCAAAGGAATCATTCACAAGGAATTTGTGCCAGGAGGTCAAAGAGTGAATTCTGATCATTATCTCGGAGTCCTCAATCGTTTGTGGGCGAGAATTCTTCGAATTCGACTGAATATCGAGAGCAAGGTTTCTGGTCGCTCCTCCACGACAATGCCCCACCCCACAAATCGAAGATCGTGCGCAATTTTTTGGCCAGAAAAGGGATCACAGTCCTTGATCATCCTTTGTATTCGCCAGATTTGGCTCCAGCAGATTTCTGGTTGTTCCCAAAAGTTAATTTGGCGATGAAAGGAGACCGTCACGACACCATCCAGGACAGCCAAAGGGAATGTACCGCAGTTTTAAATGCGATTCCACAAAAGGAGTACAGTGACTGTTTTCGAAAACTTTTCAATCGATTCCAGCTATGTATTGATTCAGAAGGAGACTATTTTGAATAAAAACAGTGAAATTTTGAAAAATTCACATCTTGTATTTTTAATGAACACAGTCCTAACAGAACCTGGACACACTGTGTCATATAGATTTAACTGTTGGAGACTGTCAACAAGGCGGGCTACATAACTTCACTGCATATGCTGTGCTCTAGAGAGGAACATAAGCTCATGTATAATGGTCCTGTAATAGTTAACCACTTATTTTAAAGTCAAGTCAGACAGTTGAAATTCAGAGCCGGGATAGCGTAGTCAGTATAGCGACTAGCTACGGGCTGGACGACCTATAGGAGTCCCGGTGGGGTAAAGAAATTTCACTTCTCCATGTCGTTCAGACCGGCTCTGGGGTCCACGGAACCTCCTATATAATGGGTACCGGGGACTCTTTCTGAGGGGTAAAGAGGCCAGTGCGTGAAGCTGAACACTCACCTCCAACTAGTGCCGAGGTCAATAAAATACGGGTCTATACATCCAATCCCCCATTTGCCTTCATGTCGTAGTGCTTAATTAGTTAATCACAGGGACAACTTTATCTTTATCTTATCAGTTGAAATTAGTACGAGAGCAAAGGTAGTTAAGTAACTTATTCGAGATTAATTTGACATTTAAGCCCAATTATATTTTATTATATCAAAATGTAGGGTGCATGTGGTAGCATAGTTGGTTGAGGCACTATGCTGCAAGCCAGTAGGTCGCGGGTTCGATTCGCTATGAGTTCATTGGATTTTTCAATTGACGTAATCCTATCAGCCGCACTGTGGCCCTGGCGATTGACTCAGCCTCTAACAGAAATGAGTACAGGAATTTTCATCGGGTTAAAGGCAGCCGGTGTATAAGGCTGACAGCCTAACCATCATGTATGAGCTGATTGTCTAGAAAATTTGGGAGCCTCAACATCTTACAACACTGGGCCTCCACGGCCTATTACAGTGACAGGTCCATTGAAATTCAACAGAGAATCATTTCTTTTGTATCTTTGTCATTCAGCCTCCCTTGCATCTTTGCTTTATGTCTTTCATGCTTCTATCTTATTTCTTCAATTGTTCATTAAACATATCTTTCAGATGTATAGTCTCAAACACAGAACTGCGACAAATGTAGGTACATGAAAACTGCTGTATGGGAATGACATATCATTCACCTATGTTTAGTTACTGAGTCCGATTTATCTTGGGGCTGACTGATGTTGAGACGGTTGAGAACTCTGTGGATCTGCCGGTTGTTGTATCAGTTCTGCCTGAAAACATCCCCCAGGAGTACCAACTCCCCATGTAGGTTGCCTTGATCGCATAGAGCTCTAGCCCTGTGCACCAATGCGGAAAGTACAGCTTGCTTGTTGGCAGGGTGGTGGTGGGACGCAGAGTTAAGGTAAAGGTTTGTATGGGTGGATTTGTGGTACACTCTATGGCCCAGGGAACCGTCGGGTCTCCTGTAAATATCTATATCCAGGAAGGGGAGGTGGCCTTCAGTTTCAGTTTCCATTGTGAACTGAATGCACTGGTGGATAATATTTAAGTGGTTCAAGAAGTCCTTAAGCTTGTCGGGCCCGTGTGGCCAGATGACGAAGGTGTTGTCCATGTAGCGCAACCAGCAGAGCGGGGCTTGTGTGGGGCCACGTCAAGTGCCCTCTCCTCGAAGTCCTCCATATAGAGGTTAGAGATGACCGGAGAAAGTGGCGAGCCCATCGCCACACCATCGGTTTGTTCATAGAACTGGCCATTGAAGTTGAAGTATGAGGTGGTCAGGACATGGCGGAAGAGTCTCAAGATATCTTCTTCGAAATGTCGTCCTGGCAGATCCATAGTATCCTCTGTAGGCACCCTGGTGAAGAGCGACACTACATTAAAACTGACCATTATGTTGTGGGGATCAACATGGAGAGAACCCAAGGTGTGGATAAATTCCATTGAGTTACTCACGTGCTGTGGACAGTTGCCAGTGTTGTTGCTCAGTAGGCCAGCCAAGTGTTTGGCCAAGTGATAGGTGGGAGAGCTAATGATCAAGTCAAGGAGGATGAGGTGGACAGTGCATGTAGCATGAATGCGGTGAAGAGGAACGCTTATGGGGTTCTGATAGGAAAGCCAGAAGGAAAGAGACCACTAGGAAGACGTACGAGTAGACGTAGGTCGGTGAACAGTATTAAAATGGATCTGAGAAAAACTGGATGTTGGAGGTATGAACTTGATTGATCTGGCTCAGGATAGGGACCAGTGAAGGGCTGTTGTGAACACTGTAATGAACCTTCAGGTTCCTCAAAATGTTGAGAAGTTGTTGAGAACCTGCACAACTGGCGACTTCCTGAGAAGGGCTCTGCTGCATGAAGTTAGTTTTCATTAGAAACTTATGCGATATTTGCTTAATATGATTTGAAGAATAACTGTAACTATTAAATATACATTTTGGAAAGTGGTTTCAAACCTCCTGTCATCCTATCATTTATTCATTTTCATTCAGTTTACAAGGCATTATATGTACTCCTACTTGGAGATCAGAGATAGCAAAAATAAATCAAATGCTTTTAGGATTTGCAGTTCTTGCAGTGGTGGTTGTGAAGAGTTCTGTCTTCTTGGATATAGCTCCTTGTACCTGCTTCATGCTAGTTTGTTGCTTGCCTTACTCTGCAACCTTGAAGAAGTAGGCGACATGATTCTTTGAAACATCAGCTGACTTTCAGCAGACTACATGCCACTACAGCCCAGAAGACACAACTCCTCAAACCACGTCCTTATTTCTGGTGTCACTGTGAAATGTTAATCTTACTCCCTCTAGAATTTTCACTATTCCATACATCTCTGGCTTGTAGATGAATTCATTTAGGCAAGTGTACGTTGCCAACTGGTCAGTTGAACAATGTGCATAAGCTTGTTTTAAATGTTAAGACATAACAGAATATTGTAGGTCAATTTATACATGGAAACTGTTTTTTAGAAATGATTTACAGTTGGTCACTGACTTCTTATCCAGGTTAATTAATACTTTAACACTACTAAGAAACTGTCGCTGATATGGATTCATGAAGCAAGATGATGTACCATATACACAGAAGAAAATATCTCGCTTACAGCATCAAGCACTTTAGGTATTGCTTGGTAATTAGTCATTGATTTATCCAGGCTAATTATTATTTTAGCACTATTAAGAACTGTCACTGATATGGTGTTGTCAAGTAATAAGATGTACCATGGACCGAGAATAAAATATCTCGCTTTCAGTATCAAGCACTATGAGTATCCCTTGGTAATTTAGATACAAAAGGTTTTTTAATGGATTTTGTTATGATAAGCATAAAATATGAAATTCACTCTACATTCAACTGTATCATCGTTTTTGCCCAAGTTTAACTTTTTATGTAATGTTCAGCCCCTAATTCTTATGACAGATCTAACTGTATGATACTTCAAAATTGAAAACAGATTTATAAAGTAAAATGTACTTCATTGTGCCTGTAATCAAGTGAGGTTCAGTACTTCAAGTACAAACATTTCTTGGCTTATGTTGGCATACTTTATACTCTTGTTTTTTCAGATTCCTGCTACAGTGTCTAGAAGATTTGGATCGGAATTTACGCAAACTCAACTCTCGTTTATTTGTAATTCGTGGACAACCTGCAGATGCTCTCCCAAAACTGTTCAAGGTGATACTGGCATGCATATTATTGCAGTCTTAACTGGGTGTATAGTGCATAGAACACCGAACTTCATTCAAATGTAGGGTCATTCTTCTTTAAGATTTCCTTTCTAGACCTCAGCTTTCATTGATTTTCCTGGTCTGCACAGTGTCAGATGTTTTCAGGTGGTGTTAGAAACTGCTCTGAAAAGTAGTACTGTGATGTGAGCCTTCATAAGAAAATTTTAATAAAGTAACATTTTAAGAAAAAAACAATCAAGTCATACCAGAATTGTGTTATATCGGTGAAAATGTCCTAGAGCAGTAAGTTTCAAACTGCATTCTGTAAAACACTGGTTGTCATAATAAATTTCTCTTTTGGCAATATAAGTATGAATGCCAAACATGAGTGTGACGCTCTTTTTAAATTGTGGTCTTCAGGGTTAAGACACCATATAGTGTGGCAGGTGAGCACCAACACATCTGAGTTTTTTTCTGCATAATAATTTGCTATAAAATCTTGGCCTACTGGTTTCCTTTCATTAAAACATACGTATCACATATTATGGTAGCTTTAAGGCGTTCTAGTACAAGAGCCAAGTATCAGATGTGGCAAGAGCCCCTGGTAGCAGTTCCCTTGTTATTCAGTATGCAGACACTTCTGCAAACAATTGTATAGTTGTTACAAACGTTTCTAGAAGGTAGCACATGTGATCTTCTACGGTGCGCATTTTTCAGATCCACTGCTGCATCCTCAAAGTGGTAGCAGGTATTTGTTTGTGGAAACAGTAAAAATCATGCATAGCAAAACAGGGAGATTACAGTCTTTGAAGAGGCACTACAGTACCCATTCTCTCATCTGAGAGGATGTTGCATTAGGGCTATTACCGCAGGAGTTCAGCTGAAAAAAAAAACTGGTTGTGCACCTCAAGGGACCTGATGCCAAGACAAATTTATTGGCAGTAAACCGGCAGTCATAAAGTAAATTTGGCCTTGACTTTGAGTTTGACAGTCTGTTCTGTGGGACTTGGAACCAAGAATCACTCTGCTGGTGAAGGCCAGCAGCAATTTACCAGTCAGTTATTCAGTTAGTTGATGGAACTTGGAACTAAGTATCACTGTGCTGGTGAAGGTCAGCAACAATTTAGCAGTTAGCTGAAATTCGACAGTTGGTTGGAGCAGTGAGTTAGTTGTGAGACAGTCAGAAGCTGGTAAGAATGTGAACACTGAAATTGAGGTATCTACAATTTTGGGAGCCATGACCTTGCAACTGCTAGTGAAGACGATCAGAGAAGGCTTAGTGTGTGCTGTAATGAGAAGTGGAATATGTGAATTAATGAGAGCGTTATAATCACTTGTAGTCACGTTCTCTAAGTGTTCAATAAATCCAGTTACCAATCCAAACCTTGTGCCTGGTTACTAACATGTGGTAGTATATAATGATTTGTATGTATGACCATAACTGTGCTGGTGTTCAGCTGGTGGTTAAGTGAGGTCAATTTTATAGTCTTTTGAGTTAGATCATGTTATTGTGTATTTCAGTAGTTTTGTTTAACCTCTTCAGTGTTAACTTACAATTGAATTTATGTTCTCCTAAGGTTTCTTTTATAAGAAAAGTGCAAATATTTACATTTTAGTGCAAATTAACATATTTATTGAAATTTAATGCTCATAATGAGCACTGTTGCAAAAATTCCTGAAATATTGATAATGCAAACATTTATTCCATTATTGTTGAACAGTAAAATGGATAAATGGAGGAATAGAGAAGTTACATGTATATTAAGGACATGAGTTTTCATGTTTCTTAGTCCTCAGAGATTAGTGAATATGTTACGCATAATTTGGTAAACATTGTGTTACTTGACTAGGAATGGGGAACTACATACTTGACGTTTGAAGAGGATCCTGAGCCTTTTGGACGGGTCCGTGACCAGAATATTATGGCCATGTGCGAAGAACTTGGCATCACCGTCATATCCAGAGTTTCTCACACCTTGTACAAATTAGAAAGGTAAGACACATTCACCACCTATAACTCTTTTCAGTAATAAAGCAGCTGTGCAGATAAATCAGGAATTGATTTCCACAGTCTCCTCTTTCGTCCTTCTGGTGCAGTTTGACAGACTGCTACCGCTAAGAAGGTGTGAGAGAAGCTAAATATATATATACAGTTTTGGCATATGGAAGTCTTGGTCAGATCCCAGGTAGATTTCTTGTAGCCTCGAAGTCACTGTTTTATATTATACAGAGTGTTTCACGACTTTAGGGCATAACTGCAGGAGGTGATTTCCTAGGTCTTTGTGATCAAAAGAGTTCACATAAACATGTCCGATTTTGGACGCTTACAGAGTTATGACCGTTTTCCACTCCCATACACGCCCTCGTGTGAACCACGTCTATCATATGATGGGTCGCTATTTTTAACCAGCTACAGACAGAGGGTTCTCGTTATCTCGACACTTGAGAGGCACCTAAGGCGTGGTGGGTTGGAATGTCCGGCGCGGTTCACAATCGAACGGCAGCCTGTGTTGCGGCCGGCGGTGGTTTTTTAAAAAATCAGCTTTAAGCACCAATAAATTCAAATTAAAGGTAATTTCACGAAGTTAACTTTACATTCATACTTTAAATGTATCATGTATTATGCTGGTTTATTATTTTGTTCCGTTTATTGTCAGTAATCGTTACATTCTATTCTGAGTTTAAAAAGGTCATAACTCCGTAACCGTCCAAAATCGGACACATGTTTATATAAACTTTTTAGATTACAAAGAACTAGGAAATCACCTACTGCAGTTATGCCCTAAAGTTGTGAAACACCCTGTATATTTCTTTATACTGTTTACATGTATGTTGTTTTGTCACAATTTGATAATAGCAGTAGTTTGGATTTATACTTGAAATGTTCATGATTTCCATTTCTTGCAGGATTTCCCTAAACTGAAGTAATTTATACTATTTGTGTCAGATTTAACTTCAGTATTTGTAGAAAATTGTGAGGGACAGAGAAAGATATTTCATCTATTGATGATATAATCTCAGAAAAATGATTAAACTTATCTACAGGTTTAACAGATTGTCCTGTAAAATGCATGCACCGAGATTTTAAGAGTTCAAAGTGTATCAGATTTATGATGTGATTCATTGGTGTGTAACTTTGTCTTCATGGATTTAACCTATTCCAGTATCTCCCCATACATTGTTGACCATCAAAAGCCAAGAACAAGAATCACTTTACAGTGTTATAAAACTGGCATAGTTATTTAGTAATTGGTAATTTTTTTTTAATTTGCCCTTGTTACCTCATACTTCTGAATATCCCTGACCACTGTTATGTATTCCTTCTAGTATCATTGAGAAGAATGGTGGGAAAGCCCCTCTGACTTATCATCAGTTCCAGACAGTAGTGGCATCTATGGAGTCTCCACCACCAGCAGAACCAGCTCTCAACCTAAAGTTCATCAGTGGTGCCTACACTCCCATTGGAGAAGACCATGACGAGAAGTATGGTGTTCCAACACTGGAAGAACTAGGTTAGTCTGTAACCCTTGGCACTTAGAAGACAACACACATGTATTCTAGTTTACTTTTAGAAGTGGCATAAGGAGATGAGTTTAGTGTTGATAGAAGTTATGTCAAACGTGTTGTCAGATAGGGTTCATAACTCTGCAGACAAATTTAAATTGCAACTATTATCGAGTGTGGAACTGATAATATAACTTAACATAGAAACAGCACTACTACTCATCTAAGAGTGTGGAAATGTAGGTTAAAACAAAAGCCTGGTTTTAGAAATCAGGCATTTCTTCCATGAGTTTGATATGACTTACATCAAACATTGCAGTATAGCAGATATCCCTTCTGCTCCTGCTCCTGCTTTTGCTTTATATGCCCATGGCACTGGGTGTCCTGACCTTTCAATGATTTAACTCATTTCCCCTATGTAAATGCCAGGATAGTACTATAAAACAGGACTGACTGCTTCTTTCATATCTTAACAAATTCATCATTCTGACTGATATGAAATGTTGTTTTTTATTATAAGATGTTTGAAGGGACAGAGTTATGAACCATATTTTTAAGGACAGTGTCATCTTTTTCTGCTTACAGGCTTTGATACAGAAGGTCTTCTTCCACCAGTATGGCAAGGAGGGGAATCAGAGGCATTGGCAAGGCTGGAGAGGCATCTTGAGCGGAAGGCATGGGTTGCCTCATTTGGTCGCCCCAAAATGACACCTCAGTCACTACTCGCTAGCCAGACAGGACTCAGTCCATACCTAAGGTTTGGCTGCCTTTCTACAAGATTGTTTTACTATCAACTGACTGATTTATACAAGAAGGTGTGTACTATAATAGATTTCAGTTATTATACTAATCTGTGTACATACAAGGTTTAACTTAGCAGCAGAACACTTCATTTACATTGGAGAAACATCTGTTTAAAATCTCTCAAGGCATTTATTATATGGTTTCTTAACTCTCATGCAATGACAGTATCTCTCACAAAAGGTTTTCATTTTCATTCAACATCTCATATTATCAGCGGTAAAGATGGTTGTAATTTTATGACATTCTATTCTGTAGGCTTACATTCAAGTAGCGTTTATTTAGGTTTTAAGATTTTTATGGGAGTGACTATTAAGATTCTGGTCTTCTAGGTCATGACACCATGTAGTTTTATGGGAAGATGTATCAGCCATAAAGACGAAGGTGGTATATGCCTTTGAAATGTTGCAACTCACCCACCAAACTACAGTGCCACACCCAAAAAAACCACAGTTGTAATAGAGTTTATTACAAATAAAAGAAATGATTGTTTGTAATTATCAGTACATAAAAATTACCCAGAGCTCAAAATTTGTATTTGTCATTTAAAATAAATTATTCTGTGATATAGCAGTGTGCTTGAAAGAAGATACTTTTGAATAGGTGGAGGAACTACCTCTCTCAGTTACTGAATGTACACAGGGTCAGTGACGTTAGACAGATAGAAATGCACACAGCTGAGCCGTTAGTACCTCATCCTAGCCCTTCTGAGGCTGAAATTGCCATTGCAAAATTGAAAAGGTGTAAACCGCCAGGTAGGAATCAAATTCCGGCTTAAATTATTTAAGCAGGATGGAAAATATTGCTAATTAATTCTATATGGAATTAGGAAAAATTGCCTGATCAGTGGAAGGAGTCTATTATTGTGCCAGTTCACAAGAAGAGTAATAAAACTGACTGTAGTAATTGTCTTGGGATATCACTTCTGTCAACTTCATACAAAACTTTATCCAATATTCTCCTTTCAAGGTTAAGTCCATACATAGATGAATTGTTGGAGATCATCAGTGTGGGTTTGGATGTAACAGATCAACTACCGATCAGATCTTTTGCATTGATTAGACACTGGAGAAGAAATGGGAGTATAATGAGACAGTACATCAGCTATTTGTAGACTTCAAGAAAGGCTGTGATTCAGTTCAAAGGGTGGTGTTGTACAATATTTTGATAGAGTTTGGGTTACCCATGAAATTAGTTAGGCTGATTAAAATGTGTTTAAACGAAATGTGTAGTAAAGTTCATATAGGTAAACATTTGCCTGATAAATTTACAATCCAGAATGTCTAAAACAAAGAGAGGTCTTATTGCCAATGCTTTTCAACTATGCTATAGAATATGCCATTAGGAAGGTCCAGGTAAACCAGTTGGACTGAAATAAAATGGGACACATCAGCTGGTTGTCTGTGTTTGTTTTGTATATCTGCAGGGTGGTAATATAGATACCACAAAGAAAAGCAATCAAGAAAAGTGAATAAAGGAAAAGATACATACGTATGAAGAAATTTTATGTGTTTCTATTCTACTGCTTCTTGCAGATCAAGAAGACATGTCCACCCCTCTCTCTCCATGGTCAACTTTTGTGGCGTGAGTTCTTCTATTGTGCAGCAACTAAGAACCCAAACTTTGACAGAATGAATGGAAATCCCATTTGTGTCCAGATTCCATGGAACAAGAATGCTGAAGCTCTTGCGAAGTGGGCAAATGTATGTTTTGAACAGGTTTATTGTGCTTGTAAATGTAGTGAACATCAGTATTTTATTTTAAGCTAAATTCATTTTAGCCTGCTTTCCTTATTTTGAAAAAATAAAAGGAAACTTTTGAGCAAGGCCTGTATTTTGATTACCTAAAAATATTTTAAAAATGACAAAAAAAAACAGAAAAATGACCAATAAAAATGACAGAAAAATCTAGAAAAAAATATCTAAAAGTTAAAAAATGACTTAAAATGTATCTTGTCATGGAAAATCTACTAATTGTTTTAAAATGTATTTTTAATCTTTATTAACACTGTGAACTCAACATTACTCTTTTAAGTTCGTCCTCGTTTTTATGTTGAAATTTAAGCAATATATGGTTTAATTTGATGCTAAATGTTTTAATACTATTTTTTCTACGATAAATGATACAAACTCCATCCCAAGTGCAAACAATATATATTATATGTCTTTGATCTTGTTCTCTTCTACACTACATGTTTCGGCCTCTATTGGCCATCATCAGGTGTATACTCTTAACGTTGCTGCCACACTGAACCCAGTCTAAAATTTAACATTTAAAAACACAGTTATTTTCTTCGTATTATCAACATCTACCTCGTTGATATGTGTCTGGTATGTAGATTATATTGCACACGTCAAATTTGATTTTGCTGTAGTAGCACTATTTTTTCTACCATGTTGGAACTCTTATCAAATGTACATATACGGTATATATTCCAATATTTAAGTGCCACCTCATTCAGAGTTGCAATAGATGACAGTCAACATGTGGAGATTCTCGAAGGTGAGTGAATGCCTATTGTCCGACAGCATGTTCTTCCACTTGGAGAAACGCCTTTCCACATCTGCAGACATAATGGGAGTGTACTTGAATTGTACCAACTCACTAGCAGTAAGTTCCTCTTCGATATTGAAAGTGCTGAAGGACTCTCCTGTCAGAATTCAAGAATTGCTGCATAATGTTTCATAACCTGAGTGTTTATCTAGAACATGTTTCATTTTTCTTGACACCATTTTACCAATGTCCCCTGACACTTCAAGTACTGTGAGGATATGTAACTTTTCAGTACACATTATACTTCATCTGATTGATCTTCAAGTGGTTAAATAAGTCAGTAATATTTTTATAAGTGTTTTGTATTTTGTGTTAAAATTTATGTTCTGTACTTGTAGGGACAGACTGGATTTCCATGGATTGATGCCATAATGACACAACTTCGAGAAGAGGGATGGATCCATCACTTGGCACGGCATGCAGTTGCATGCTTCCTTACACGTGGTGACCTGTGGATCTCCTGGGAAGATGGCATGAAGGTAAGATGTTATTCACGCACAAGTGTACCATTATAATGGAACGATTAATGTAGTTTACACCTGTCCACTTGATGACATGTAATAATCTGTGAACACTTTGCTGAAAACTATGACAGTTAATGCTGTGTTATTACTATTAATGTCTTTGCATACTGGACAGGTGTTTGAAGAGCTTCTGCTGGATGCTGATTGGTCAGTGAATGCTGGCATGTGGATGTGGCTGTCATGTTCATCTTTCTTCCAGCAGTTCTTTCATTGCTATTGCCCAGTGCGCTTTGGACGCAAGGCCGATCCCAATGGAGATTATATTCGGTAGGATGTTATTTTAATTGTTTCAGTACTATATATATGGTCACATGTTGGAGTGAGTGTCCAATAAAGATTCGCTATATCTGAGACCCACATGAAGTTATTTGTCGCATGACATACCCAACACATGACAACTGGTGTCAGAAGTGGGATCAGTTCGCATTCTGAGACAAATTTGGAAGAGTTACTAGACTAATGCCACCTCGAGTGTTATAATGCCACACAAGCTAGAATGGACATACAACAGATGATGGAACGTCTGTTAGTGGGTCAAGAACAAATAATGACCGGCCACAAAGAACTACTGGCCAAACTGGAGGCTGACAGACAGGCCAATATGAAAGTATACATACATACATACATACATACACAATTCATAAATTCACTGATCCATTGTCCGAATTGGACCGGATATTGAACTTGTCAAAATAAGACTTGATTGCAGAAGTATAATCGTGTCAACAGCAAACAACCACACACAACCAAAAGCACCAAATAACCATAATTTACATTGTCATTCATAAACAAAATTGCAAGGAATATGGTTATTAAATGTTATACATGCTCAGAAGAAATATATTCATCTATTGAATAAAAAGCATTTGTTGTGAGGAAACTTTTCAGTGTGCGTTTAAAAATCTTCACATTATCACTCATCCTTTGTATATTTTGAGGAAGATTATTNACTCGGAGTGTGTATTTCAGGGAGACTTGCATAGCTCCCGCGTTATCAGTACGTGAAGACAAGTGAAGATTGTGTTAAGAGATTTGTTGTAGGGTTTGCAAAGTGTGGAAACCCGTAATATTGTGATCATTAATTATAGCCATTATTTGTAGATTGTTCAATAAACCAGTTAACGATCTCTACGGCGTATTCTGTAACGTAGACACGTTACATTATTATAAAACATAATGGATGAATATAACACGCCTCTCTGGATTGAAGATAATCTCACTGATGACACATGTAGCTTTCCAAACTGTCTAGTGTTTATATGATGAATATTATTGTTGGTTTGGAACAAAAATGCGATTTCTAACAACAAACACCAATATAAAACAGATATATAGGCTAGGAACTGTCAAAATACCCAACCTCTTAAAACCTTCTCTACACGAGTTTCCAGGACTCAATCTCAGCATAACCCTAATCGCTCCTTTTTGGGCAGCAAATAAACTTTTCATAACTGGAGAAGAACCCCAGAATATAATACTATATTCAAGCTGAGACTGATAATAAGAACAATAGACCATTCGAAGAGCTTGTTCACTGACAAGGGACTGTCACTTCCTGAGCATAAAACCCGCTGTATTCAGTTTTTTTAAAGATTTTTCAGATTGTTTATTCCAATTAAGTTGACAATCTAAATACATACCTAAAAATTAACATTATCAACGCCTTTAAGTCTAAAATTATATATGTTATCGATAATGTATACTCTGGAGACTTAGGAGTCACAAATTTAATCAAGTGAGTTTTACTCAAATTAAGTATCAGATTGTTATTTCAAAACCAGCTTGAAACCCTAATCATAACTCTTTTTAATTTAATATACAGAGAGTTTAGGTCATTTGAGGTAATTAAAATTGTGGTGTCATCCACGTACAAAACAGTACGTGCTATATCCTTAAGAGTACCTGGGAAATCATTAATATAAACATTAAACAACATTGGTTTCAGGACAGATCCCTGTGGAACATCAAACCTTACAGATTTACATTCAGAGATTGTAGCATGGCGAGAAGAGATGGCCGCCATGAGAGATAAAAGGATGAATGCCAACCACAGTGAGATGTTGGCCTACCAAGAGATGGAGGCACATCAAGAGGAGAGAAAGCTGACCTCACTGGACATGAAACCTAAGGCGGCACAGAGAGAAGAGGTCCCTAAAATAGACGCCGAAGTAATGCCGGTTGGAGAACCAAAGAAGAAAAGGTGTAGGGGCCGAAAACTAGCCACGGAGTGCTGCCGCCTGAAACCAAAAAATTAAACACGGAAAAATTGTGGACCTCAGAAGAAATTGGCCGTCGCCCGCAGCGGGGTGAGTCACTGTGCGGAAGCAGCACGGCAGACAAAGGAAACTAGCAGAAAGACATCTGGTCGTCCAAGAATCGCCTGGCACAAGAGAAGTGTTGGTAGGAGAAATTGTATCAGGACCAAGTATGAGGAAAGGATCTGGAGACTCAGAGAAAGAGTGAGGATTCTCCACAAAGGAAGAACGGGAATAAATAACATAGGTGGCAAACGGCCGCTATGTCAGAAGAAAGAGGTGCCGACCAAGAACACCATCGGACGGTGTAGATCAGGAGATTGATCGCACCTAGGGGGGAGAATTCATAAGAAGATGAGATTGTCAGCGAGAAGATCGGAAAGCGGATAGTCAGATCTTCTGTCAGCCTATGACAAGACATGGATTTGACGCTGTGGAGGTGTCGACCCTCTCCAAAACGAAAAAAGGGAAACGGCCCATATGGGAGGAACCAATAACATAGAAGCACAGGCCTCCCCAGCAAGGATGAATGAGGAAAGAATGAAAGTGACGAACGAATGTGAGACAGAATCAACAACCGCTGGACCACAGAAGTGCTTGGGGCGAGCACCCTGGACGAAGATGGGCAGATGGAAGAATCCAGGATGGAAAACGAAAGAAGGGCAGAGATACTGATAGGAATATGAACTCAGGAAACAAAACCAAGGAAGTACCATTAGGCTGTTCGAGGACAAAGAACCTTTAGAAGGGAGCAGTGTGATGCGTTATCTTACGTCCATCGCCACAACAACCGCTACAATCGGAACGGACACTTCCACGGCAACGAATACGTGGAAATTGGGGAGTTAATGCAGCGACAAATTGTAGCAACGAATTGTCGTTGAGTAACAACGGATGAGACGAAACACATTACCAGTGTATTCTATAAGGAGCATTCCCGAAGCAACGGATTGCCGAACGCGTGAGATCAAACCTTGGCGAGGGGTGTCCTCTATTGAGTCTGCGTGCGCCTTATATAAAGGGCCTGGCCTCGAACGGAAGTTGAGTATTAGCGTATTGGGCCAGAAGTCAAGTGATACTGCAAGTGATAATAATTGTGAGCTGTGTAAGAGTGAGTGTCCAATAAATATTCGCTATATCCGAGACCCATGTGAAGTTATTTGTTGCGTGACATACCCAACACGTGACAATATATATACAGGTGTCCCAGGAGGAATGTGCCAGACTTCGGGGGGGGGGTGTTCTTTATGTTAAAGTATGCCGATATAACCCAAAACATCTATGTCCAAAGTTGAATGGTTACGGAGATAATAGCCAGAGAAGTGTGAAACTTTGACAGGTGTTACACACCTGTCACACATATTAAAACTGGCAGGAATATGTGGTTTCTGTAATGTTAATAATGTAACATCAAACTAACTTGTAAGTGACATGAAGCCATTAAATTGAACTATAAAGAAACTTGCACGCCATATCATAATTGTCCTTAGGGTTCCAAGCACTATACAAAACACATGAATGGCAAGCACTGACGTAACATGGCTGACTGCGCATTCTTATATGCAAGTGTATGTGGCTAGTGTGAGCCATCATCACCACACTCAAGGACAAACATCGATAAGACTTGTCAGCTGACAGGTTCAGTGCGTGGACCCGCCAGACGACCACACTTTTCATATGGCAACACTGTAAACACACACTTCAGTCTTCAGTTCAAATTGTGGCGTGTGTAAATTCGTAAATCAATTCTGACACCAATGTAACGTGTTTTGCTACTGATGATGCTGTTCGGATTGTTAAAATTTTAGCTACTATATATTGTGATATTGACAAGGCATGCAACCATATCCTGGGCACAGAATGTGTACTTGTACTATGTTTACTATGTCAGTTTGGTACTGAGGTAATTATCAAAGTCCAAAAACTATAGATGTCTTGTGTGTCATGGCCTGGTTATTAGGCCATTACAGTAAGTGATTTCTGTTCAGCTATAGTAGATACCCCGTGTAAAGGTTTTCACACACAAGAGAGCCAGGTGTTCAGTCCTAGATCAAATATTTTTAATTTACTCCATTTAATATTTTTAGGAGAAATCAATCTGTTGACTAATTCTTAATCTTTCTCCTGGGAATTCAGCTGTTGACCTACAGTAGTTGTGGGATATATTTATAGTCTGAGTGCTCCCAGTTTGATTCCCTCTCATGGATTGTTTGTATATGAAAATCAGTGTTCTCACCTGTGCCAAATGTACCCTCCCATTCTGCAGCTATGAGGGTGCATTATTTGTTTGCAGAAAGTATCTGCCAGTCCTGAAGAACTTCCCGACACGTTACATCCATGAACCGTGGAATGCACCTGAAGCAGTTCAGAAGGCAGCAAAATGCATCATTGGAAAAGAGTATTCTCTTCCTATGGTAAATCATGCGGTTGCTAGCAGAATCAACATTGAGCGCATGAAGCAGGTTTATCAACAACTCAGCAAGTACAGAGGACCAGGTGGGTTAACTGTTTGGGCAGTAACCTTTCTTAATTTTGCCTTGTGTGCTCTGTTAGTAATATAAAATAAAGTTTTAAATAAATACAGAGTTTCACAGCATGAACTTCAATACTACTGGGCTTTGGAATTGGTCTCTTATTTGATATTCCAAACCAAGCATGCCATTCATGAAATTCAATCTGTTTCCATCCTCAGATAGAAAGTTGAACAAAGGATGATGCTGTGTAGTTATCATGAATTTGAAATATGTGACATGTTTTTTATCCAGCCCTACAGGGAGATGATGGGATCCATGAAGTGAAAATAAATGTAAATGTAAACAAAAGCCCTAGGTTGGAAATGTATCCCATTTCAAAACTCTTATGTTCTCTTTGGAATACTAGTAACATTAGTCATAATATTGTCATGTATAAGGGGTAGTGCGACAAATAATTGTGGATTCTAGGTTTGATGATTGGATTTATTTGACATCTCTGTTACAATTTTACACTAGATTATAACAGTTCACACATTTAACTCCTCTCACTGTTGTCTGGATCTTGCACTGGCGTGTAGCTTCCAGTCTTCTCGAACTCTGCTTACAACTGGAAAGCACGCTAATTCACTGCTGACTCACTTTGCTACTGCTGCTGCTGCTGCTACTTTATGTTTGCTTAGCATACCGCATAGGTGACACCGAGTTGAACAGTTCAGCTTTCCATTGTCATGAAAATGACACCTCTGTTATGCAGGAAATGTCTGTCTACGTTGCTGTGGGAACTTTGCTTATTGAGCCATTGGCTGGCAATGGACACCTGGCTTTGACTCTGTATTCCAGCTTTCAGGCCGTGTTTACTGAGCATTGCTCAACAACCGACTGTTCCAGCTGGTCATCCCAGATATATGTATCAACAAGCCGTTACCTATGCAGTGAATTCATGTGTCATATTATCCACTATCAGAACTTTGTAGAATTGGCCATGTACTTGGAAATTGTAATTGTTTTTTGGTTCCCAAGATTCAAGTTTTTTGCTAAGGAGGAGATGTAAAATGAACAAGTGCTTACTACCAGGTTCTGATGAAATTCTTTTGGCAGAGACATGTGAACTACCATCTGTTGGAAGAAAGTGATGTTCTCTGCTGAGGCTGTATAAAATAACTAAATACCCACTGCAAGAGCATGTTCAGAGTTATTTAGTAAAGATATCATCACATATTAGTGACTAGGCATGAGGTCTGGGTTAATAATTGGATCTCTTGGCCTCTAATAACTTGTAATGGCATGTAACTCTTAACAGTTGTGCAGATCTACACACTCCACTTCTGTGTTTGTGTTTTCACCAGATGTTGGTAGGTAATGGATCCAAACAATGTCCTCTTCTGCTCACATTGTTGCCGGCCTTCAACTATCTCACAATTGACTCATTCCTCCAACTGTCAGCTCTCAACTAACTTGTCCTCCATATTCAGGGATACTCAAGTTCCCCGAGTAGTATGTTAATTCAGTGCATGGCAGGTTTAAATTAACAGATGACAACAGAATGGTTGCAGAAAACAGTATTTTGTTATGAAAATAATGGACACTTGATGAAATATGCTGGCCCTCTAAAGTATTCTACCTAAGGGTGTGGTAGCCCCGGCTCACTTGCAGTACTTGTCTGTGGTTTCCCTGTTAAACTGCTTCTCTACAATGTCTGTTAGACCTTCACATTAGGATTGTTCCTCATTTGCCAGCCCTTGTCTGAAACAGTCAGGGTTCTGTCCTACTCACATGTGGCGGGAAGGACCGCACAGTAATTTATTTAGTCTACATGCTGACTGGCTAGGCATGGCAATCCAGTCCACTGCTTTGAAAGAATATTTAAAACGCCTTCCTTAACCACAGAATACACATGACCACACAATTACAGCAGTGCACCCACTGCCATGAAGTTGTTACATTGTAAATATTTGTTGAATTATAGTAATTTTTAATGTAACATATTCATTCATCAGTAATCTGTCAGATGACAGGTCCACAGTCTCATCCAAAACAGTTCCTCCACTTAATGTGATCTAGAGCTTTCTCCTTCAAATGAGAATATCCTCTTCTGCCCCCAAGGTCATCCAGCATGTTCTTACATATTCTTCCTCATCTTCTTGTCACTTCTATCCGCCCCTCTATCTTTCCTTCAATAACTTCTTTTAGGAGGCAGTTACTGCATAAGATATGACCAGTCCAATTAGCCTTCCATTTTCTTATTTCGTGTAGGATATTCCTCTGCTCACCGACTCTAATTAACACTTCTTCATTTCTCACATAATCAGTCCAACTGATCTTCTCCATCCTTCTCCAACACCACATTTCGAAGCTTTCCAGGTGTTTCTGATCTACTGCCCTAAGTGTCCAAGTTTCAGCCCCATACAAAGCCATGCTCCAAATGTAGCATTTCACTAGTTTCTTTCTCAAATTTAAGTCCAATTTGCTGGTAAAAAGATTATTCTTCTTGCTAAATGCAGTTTTTGCCATGGCAATCCTAGATTTAATTTCACAAGTACACCTTCCATCATTTGTTAACAAGCTACCCAAATATTTAAAACATTTCACATTCTCCAGTTCTTTTTGGTCTATCTTTATTGTGACTAGGGTTCGTTGTCTCAAAATTTTCATTACTTTTGTTTTTTCCACATTTATTTCCATGCCATAGCACCTTCCAATTTCAATTAGTCTATCAATCATGCCCTGTAGCACAGTTTCTTCCTTAGCCATTAACACAAAGTCATCTGCATATTTCACAGTTTTAATAATTTGTCCTCCTAATTTTAAGTCTCCAAGCCCATCCAGAGCTTCCTAGGTAAGGCATTCGCTGTACAATTCAAACAGAATTGGTGATAAACTGCATCCTTGTCGAACTCCTCTTCCAATCTTCACACTTCTTGTCTCCCCTCTGTCCAGTCGCGCTCTAACTTTCTGACCCATGTACAATTTGCTAATCAATCTTCTTTCACGCCAATGATACCTGTTTCCTTTAGGATCTGCATTAATTTGGTCCAGTTTACACGGTCAAATGCCTTCTGCCAGTCTATGAAGCAAACACACGGTTCTTCATCTATCTCCAAAGTTCGTTCCACTATAATTCTCATCATCCCAATTGCATCCCTGGTTCCTTTTCCTCTTCTAAATCCAAACTGATCTTCTCCAAGTATATCCTCTATTTTCCTTTCAATTCTTCTTTTAAGTATCTTTGCTATTATCTTTGCTGTATGTGCAATAAGGCTTACTGTGTGATGATCGCTGCATTTTTAAGACATATTCTGTACCTCTTACACGTGTGTTCTGCATGAGTGACATGCTTCATTAGAAACATGTGATTAGTAGTCTTCATTTGCAGTTCATTTGACTGATGCTAATATAGTATTGTAGGTACTGCAGCTAACACATATAGCTATTATTTCTGTACTTATTTTTCCACTTCTTAACGTTTCAGGTTTGCTGGCTACTGTTCCTACAAGCCAGTCACGGTCTCCCAACAGTTTGAACTCACTGTCAGTAAAGGCAGATTTGAAGAAGTCCCCATCATCTGAAACTAAATTGGAGACACCTAGTGATGAGATTGCTGTTCTCCAGTAATCTGTGTAGCAGATTTGAAGGCTTGATCCAGGTCAATCATTACAAATCAGAACAGGAAGAAAATAAGTGATGGCTGCTCACAGCTGGAGACAGGCTAGGCCAACATGTCACTTTCCTGCCAGAATAGTGTACACATGACATGAGCAATGCAGACTTGTAGAAAATTGTGATATGTCTGTTTTTGAGCTGCTCATTACATTAAATTCATTGGAAGTAGGGGTTTGGGGGATATCACCCCAAACAGTACTTACAGTATCAACCATTAATATTATTAGCATTTGTGGTACTTAAAAATAAACTGTTGTTATTTATATATTTAGGAATTGAAGAGTTGGTTGGTGAGTTAGTGAGCAATCAGAGAACTGCGGTTCAGTCATCATGAGCCGTTTTTGTTAGAAGCTGGTGGCTGGGGCATGGTCATACTTCGGGAACCGAAAGCAGGGGAACATCAGCCACTGAAAGCCGCTACCAGGCAATGGCTGGTGAAGACACTGCAGACTGAGAAGACTTAATACATGCTGTAATGAACTGCAGAGCGTGTCAATTAGTGAGAGCGCTATAGTTACTTTTAGTTACAACCTGCAAGTGGTCAGTAAATCCAATTACCAATCCAAACCCTGTCTATAGTCCCTCATACACGTGACAATATAGTGTATGCAGAGGAAGCCCTACCAGCAGGTAGGCCTATGAGCAGTCAGTCAGCTGAAGTGAAGAAGGGGCAAGTTAGTGGATCAGATATCTCTCTCTGACACACACACACAAAGGTGAAATGAGGAAACAAGACATTTGTCGCTCTTGCTTTTCGACTTTGGTTTCGAATAAACCACTCAAAGAGTCCAAGAAAACCAGGTGGAATTTAAATTTTATGGGACACATCAGCATCTGGTCTATGCTGGAGATTTCCTTAGCATGTTGTTATTGCTTTCTGAAGATGCTCACGGCTGACCGAAATATGTAAAGGCACTATATAAACATATGCTGGGTCACACAGGATGGTGTTGTTATATTCATTTTATTAAAATGATACACTTTGTGCAATATAGCATTTACAACTTCTGAATACTGTGTGATGCTTTCATCATTAAATACAGTCAGAGATACTGGGTTTTCAGACTTTGTCCATCGTCCGGATTCTAAATAACTAAGAAAGAACACAACGTTTTGGAAACTGGATCTGTTTCCATCCTCAGGGAAGACACCTACTCTGTTGGGTCTCTTAGAAAGAGCTAGCCTCAGTCACCAGATGAATCAAGTAGGTAGGTGTCTTCCCTCATCTGAGGATGGAAACAGCTCCAGTTTCTGAAACGTTGTTTTTTCTCTTAGTTACTTAGAATCCGGACGATGGACAAAGTCTGAAAACCCAGTATCTCTGTGTGTTACACACCATCATAAGAACCCTATAGTATCTATTAAATACAGTGTCATTAGTCCATGACTGGATGACTGCCCATTTTAAATTTACTTTTATGAACAATTTAGGTTCCATCATATAACCAATGGCATAGTATAAAGGTGGCATACTGTAAAGAATAAATAATCCTTTCTGAATGCTCTGTATGCCTCTTGAGATTAAAATTATCGTGTTCTGTATGGGATTGTTATTAATTCTTAAAAACTCTAGTTTAAAAACTGGTCTCTCTTGATTTTTGTGCTAGTCAGCCATAAAGACAAAATCTTATAAAAGCTGAATGGAATAAATAAATTTAAAATTTTCAGCTGATGAGATAAAGAATATCAATTCAGTTAATTGATTTGAATGAATGATTACAGATGCCAGCTCAAATCCCATTTATCAGTTTTTCTGTATTCATACATAAACATTTCACAATTTCATCATGCATACTGCAACCTGACCTCTTGTAAAACCAGAAATCCTTCTGTTCATACTCCTTTTTACTGGAAGAAAACTGTGGGGCATTGTGAGTGGCATAACTGGTCATCTGAAATCAACCACAGTCCAGTTGCATGTTTCCAAGAAGACAAATCTTCATTAATCTTTAAATAGGAGGCAAAATTGGACTAAGAGCCTGTGAGAACATCCCACATAACACGCTATTTCTACAACGCTCACTATTCGACTCACTTTTCACCATCACGCACACTAACCAATCAAATTGCCTCCAACGTTCGCATTTATACAGTGCTTGCTGCTAGCCCGCAACCACATCATTACGTGCGCTAGCCAATCAGCGCTCAGCAAATTTTCGCTCCTCCATCACGCTTTGTATAAAAAGGAGCAGCTCCAACCTGGCAGCATCAGTCATCAGTCTACGATCAGTCTACAATCAGTCTTCACTTGGGCAACATCAGCCAGCACACTTTGTCGCCAACGTTCGGTCTTTGGAGTCTTTGGCTCTGCGCTGCACCAGGAATGGCCGCCTCGCTTCTCCGACGGCATGTCCGACACACTGGGCTGCCTCGGCTAGCTGGCAGTCATGCCTGACTCACTGGGCATCTGGCGTAGCTACTGCCTCTCCACTCCAAACACAGCGCTCGACAACCAGACTTCCACCAGCAGCTGCCGCACTGCGATCAAGCCACCTCCACCATGTGCTGCACTGCGATCAAGCAACCTCCAGCAACGGCCACACTGCGGCCAGTCCACACACCGCAACCAACATCTCTTTCTACCGGCGTACGTAGGGCTATTTCACCGGCCAAACATCCCAGCAGCCAATGGTCCTCTTCAGGACCTACAAACTTTTCTGAAGAAGTGGGTAGTCATTGGAATAATGACAAAACCCCACAAGCTATTCTGGATAATGGAACTGAAGCAAATGTCAATACAACTACCAGGAATACAAACCAACTGTCCATACTGAGATATCAGATTTTTATTTATGTGACACGGTATCTTTAGTAACCCCTTCTTTAATAAAATGCAATGGTTAAACAGCTGTCACCCTTGCATGATGTTCAGAAGGTTGAGGGCTTGATTCTAGGATCAGAAGCTTGCTACACAGTTTTCCTCAGTACTGCCAAGAAATTTCTTGGATAATACTTTAAAGTACTAAGCCACACTTTTCAACAAGTAATTGGTATACCTTAAATTAGGAGGGGGACTTCAACATCCTAAATACAACATTCACAATCATATTCCCATTTGATACTATGTGAACTCTGCAGCTGAAAGAGTACAACTGCATACACTACGTAACTAAACACAACTCAGAAGAGAGCTTCAAGTTCTACTTGTTTGTCTGGAATGTCTTCATCACTGTAACAGCATGGTCTAACCTGGCCAATGTGCCTGTCTGTCCAAGTATTTCCATCATTTCTGCAACACCAGGTCCTTCCTGCAGGAATTACACACAACTGAACTACTTATGCATTGCATGTCTACTTAACTGCACAGCAAATTATAAAACAACTTATGAGGTGCTACTGGAAAGTTCCCGGACTGTTGTTGTTAACTGCCTCAGTGAAAGAAGATGAGAGGGGAGGCCAAGGTCACACTTCTGGAAGCCTATTGCATTAGTCTTGTCACCTGACACCACGCAGTGAACACACATTGTTTTTGCATGAGTGCTTTTTCGACTTTGTGTTTCGTTTTGTCTGGAACGGATAGCAAAATCGAACAACATGTCTGCATCAAATTTTTCGTCAAGCTCGGTAAATGCGATACCAAAACCCTTGAAATGCTTCACGAGGCTTTTGGAGAACATTCTTTCGGCTGGACAGCAGTTTTTGAATGGCACTTCTAAAGGGCGATCGAGTATCAGTCGAAGATAATGAACACTGAGGGCGACCAAGAACCAACAAAATTATAGAAAATGTTAAACAAATTTGAGAACTCATCCACGAAGACTGCTGCTGAAAAATCCATAAGTCATAGACACCGCTAGGATCAGTTATGGAATTTGCCAGGAGATCTTAACACGAAATTTGAAAGTGTGCCACACTGCCGCAAATTTGACAAATGAGCAAAAGCAGCGGCACATAGATGTGTGTCTTGAGCTATGGCAGAAAGCTTAAGAGGGCCCAAATTTTATCTCTAGGAACATAACAGGTGATAAAAGTTGGATTTTCTGTTATGATCCAGAAACAAAGGAACAAACATTGCAGTGGAAGAGCCCATAATCACCAAGAGCAAAAAAGGCACACAGATCCAGAGTTCAACAAAGAGAGTGCTCATTCTTCTTTTCAATGTGAAGGGAATTGCTCACTGTGAATCTGTTCCTCCTAACTTTCCAGTCAACTGTTGACTTTTACTGTGACATTCTCAGAAGCTTGAGAGAAAATGTGCAATGAAAAAGACCAGAATTTTGGCGCAGCCACAACTGGCTCCTTCATCACGACAATGCGCACACCCACACATCCCTGAAAACCAGAGTTTGTGACTAAAAACTACATGGTTAGTGTTCCCCATCCTCTGTACTCACTGGACGTAGCCCTGTGATTTCGCTTTGTTTACCAGATTGAAAATGAAACTAATGGGACATTATGAAAACAGAGTCTGACATCCAAAGGGAATCACAGGCGGTACTCAACAGCATTAAGGAAAAAGACTTCCACAGTGCTTTTAAAATGTGGACAAAATGATGGGATCTCTGTATACATTCAGAATGAGACTATTTTGAAAGAGATGACAGTCAGACTTGTGTAAGTTAAGCCAGAATTTCATTTGTGACCTAGCCCGGAAACTTTCCAATAGCACCTCATAAGCTTTCCAAGTTATTAGCCAATGACAAAATGTAATCACTTTTCATGCAAAGGAATCATTACGAATTTAAACTCTTGTTATACCAACTTTAAACTGAAACAATACTTAACTCTGGAGTTGTCAGAGATTTCTGGGTCTATTCTGGAGTCTATGAAGCAGATTCAGTAACATTTATCTTAACAGTTACTAAATGTGATAAAATGTGTTGATCCATCACTGGAATCATGACACACAACAGGAGTCCATGCAATGGAAAACACTGTGGTGCACACACTCCTATGAAGTTTTGGAAACTACCGTTGCCTAGTAGGTCACGGCCATGGCATTTTGCAATTAGGGAATTCTGTTCATTGGACTACATGCCACAAGAGTCAACAATTACTGGTGTTCCCTGTGCTTTTCTACTTTAGACTTCAAAGGAGGCCATCAAGACAGACGAGACATGCTGATAAGCACAGTCCTGCTTCCTCATGACAGTGATCCTGTACACAAGTCATGAAAAGCAATCACTGCCATAAAGGACTTCAGCTTTGAGGAATTAATTCATCCACCCTGCATTCCATATCTAGCCCCCACTGAATACTTTCTGTTTTGAAAACTCAAACATACATTTATGTGGGTGGTAGTTTTCTGAGTGACAATGAATTCAAAGGTGCTGTTTCTCACAGATTTCTTCTTGTCCTTGAAACAGAGGAAGTATACTGAACTAAAAGAGACTATATTGATAGATGGTGAAAAAATCTTTCCTCTGTCACCACTACTTCATGGTTAGGTAGATCATATATATGTAGTAGCCCTTAAGTCCTGAAAGTCACCCTGTTTGTTAATCTTCCAGCAGTCAGAACACTGTACCTTTAAGCCACTGATAGCAGAACGTAGCAGTTTCATCAGTTTACTAAATGGCAATTGCTTTTCTGTAGAAAACGCATTCAGGAGAGTTTTGAGATGCTCTCTGCGAAATTCAGCTTCCAGCAACTTTGAAAGACACAGCCTAATATCTTCTAAAACACCTGTCAAAAGAGTCATATTTCTTATTAGTCACACATGGACGTTGACTACTTACATGATTTTACCAAAGTTGTAGATAGAGAACCTCAAATATCAGGTTAATTCTTAAATTTGTATTCTTGTCCTGAAATCCATGCACATGCATTCTAGTTGGTGCATGTATATGTAAGCACAGATACATATGACGGTACAATTCCAAAATGCCAGTTCATATAGAGTTATGTATACAGTTACAAATGTGTGCATGTTATTTGACTTCTGACAGTTGAAGGTGACACACAAATGGATACATATTGCAGAATGAAGGCTCTATATGATGACAAGCTTATCTGAAAATTGCATCTGTAAGTGGGTGCAGGAGGTGGATGATGTTTTGTCCACAGGCCAATCAGAATATGTTGTCACTCCTGATAGTATTGCATAAGCAGAATGCCTACTTTGGAAAAATCAACAAGTAATTTTGGATATCACTATGGTGGTGCAACAGAATGTTGGTTGAGTGCATACTCTGGTCCATAAGGAACCTTCATCTATTGAAAGCTATATGAATTGACATATGGAATGCAGAGTATGTTGACTTATCAGGCACAATAGATCACTGTGGTCGTGGTGCAAGGGTCAAGAAGGCCCACCCCTTATACATTCATGGTGACTTATGTACTTTGTTATTGGAACACTATGAAGCAGAAGATGATCTTGGACAAGCTGTGATAGGCAATGAGTTATTAGTACAGCACTTCTTGCTTGAAACCAAGTGACTTAAAAAACAATGTTCTCACCTTCTGCTGATGAAGCCCAAAAATTCTGAATGTCATAAGACAGAAATGCTTTCTACAACATGAATGATATCACAGATCTCCACAGAATGGAACCACAGTAAAAGCAACACATACAGCAAGTTTCTGGACAGCAGTCTGAAGTCAGATATTAGGCAAAAACAAAGTGGCTTGCTGTCCAAGCATCATACTTCCTAAAGCATGACAATAGAATGTCTGCAGACCTTGTGGGCAACCACTGGAGGAAACAAAGTACTCCCTGTGGAAGTTCTCCAATACCAAACTTATTCACTAAATCTTGCACCGAGAACTATCTCCTTTGGATTCTTAAAAACAGCATGCAGTGGGATCTACCGTTAAAAATAACTTTTCCATGATGGTATCACAGCACTGATGAATTACTGCATGGTGTGAAAGAAGTGGTTCCTTTTGAGGTTGTATTTTGGAATTTGCTAAGCAGACCCATAAAAACTATAAGAAACACTAGTCAGGATAGCTATTTCCCCAGGTGAGAGATGAACTGGATGCCATGTTACCATACAAAGCCATGCAGCTGTCAAATTCATACCTAAATTACTACTGTGACTTGTGATGTCCTCTAGTGTGTGCACGGAGGGGGTAACCCACAGGAAGGCAAGATTACTGTTCACAAGGTCAGTCAGCTTTGTAATGCGGTCTTGGCTCCACCTTAGCACAGACATGATGTGGTCATCTTGGAGAAGTAAATTGTGGTTTTCTAATCTGTTAAAAGAAATACCAATTCTTTGTTAGACTATTTAATGATATTGTAGCAAGTACAGAGGCTGTTTAACATCTTACAAAATGGGCAGTCAAGAATGGTGAACTAAATGGGAATGGGAAGAATGCAGTAATAACCTTTGAAGAGAATGTCATATTATTCCTAAAGTAAAAGTATTCAAAGTATATCAGCCAAGACAGACAAATCCCCAGTTTAGATTCACATGAGACACCTCCTGAATCTCCTGTAAGACAGATGTACGAGGGCTATTTGGAAAGTAAAGACAGAAGTCCAGTGAAAATGTAAGGGAATTTTTATTTTTTAGAAATGGCAGTGTTGTAGTGTGAGATAGGAATCGTATGACAGGACAGAGTGCACTGGCCACAGTCATGGCAACGTTGTGATCACAGGGTGTTTAAAATGGCCACGTTGACTCAAAATCCCACCAATTGTGAGGGTGCAGTAATTGTATTGCTTCATGCAAAAGGAGAAACTGCTGCTGAAATTCATCGCCAACTTGTTTCTGTTTATGGCGAAGATGATATGAACAGACAAGACATGGCAAAATGGTGTTGTGAATTGAAGCCGGAAGAAGTGAAAAAATTGACCAAAACATTCATGCCGACAGAAGTTCATTAACTATATCCAGAAGTGTCAAGAACTGTGCTCCATTAAATTGTTATAAAAAATTAGGCTATTGGAAACTGTGCTCACGTTGGGTGCCGAAAATGTTGACAGACGATCACAAGAAAAACTGAGTGGCTGCAGTGCAGGCATTCCTCGCGTGTTACAAGGATCAAGGTGATCAAATAAAATTATCTAGTATTAATAGTGTTTATCCTTTGACCCTATTTCTGGGCCATCTTCAGGTGTCAGAAGCACTTAAAGTCAATCAAACTGCCCCATTTACAGCATACATGTGGATACATAAGTTTTTTGAGTGGTCAGTTTCATGCCCTGGTCGTTTTACTCCTGGGGAAACAGCCCCTGGTACACATTGGGTAGGAGGCTGAGTGGGCCCCTTAGAGAGTCTGAACGCTGTGGAGAAGACAAAAATCTCTTGCACCTGCTTGGAATCGATCTGCATCTGTCCAGCCTAAAGCCCATCAAAAATGTTCTAAGAAAAAGTGAAAATCATTGGCCTTACCTATCCTTGTAAGTTCTTGAAACCAATTGTTTAACTTCCTGAACCAGCAATGCTAACTCCTTTTTATCAGCAAGTTTCTGACGAAGTTCCAAACTATTAAAATCTGGAAGCCTCTGTGGTGTTAGACGACAAGAACTAGGTTTCACATGGCTTATGTCAAACTGTAGGGGAAAAATGAAAACGCTATCAGTTACAGCCTCTCCAGTAGTTGAGTTTCAGTTTATTTACTGATGCCTTTTCCAAATGCAAAGGTTATAGCATTATGAGATGAGAAGATGAGCACAAATAACTAACGCCCATGGAGCTAAGTCCTTTCTGATGAGCCATCAGTCACTCGGATACTCGAGAACTTCCTAATACTATTTTATGGAACCCAAAGGTTCATTACTATGCTCACAAGAGCTCTTCACTGGTCCCTATCCTGAGTCAGATTAATCCATCCTATACCACCCCATCCTATCCCTCCAAGATCCATCTTAAAATTACCCTTCAACCTGTCTAGGTCTTCCTAGTGGCCCCTTTCCTTCTGGCTTTCCCACCAAAGCCCTATCCCTGTATGCATTCCTCTTCTTCCCCATGTATGCTACATAGACTGCCAATCTAATCCTCTTGACTTGGTAATTCTGATTATACTTGGCAGAGAATACAAGTTATGAAGCTCCCTACAGCTCATTTTTTTTCCAACCTATCACTCCATCCCTCTTTGGTCCAAATATTCTCCTTAGAACCCTGTTCTTACTCTCAATTCCTTAATTTTAGTGACCAAGTTTCATATCCATACAAAGCTACAGGTGAAATTATAGTACTGTAGTTTTTACATTTATGGACTGAATAGTAGCAAGCATTACCTGGGTTTAATTTCCTCATCATTCAAATTCTGATTCATCACTGTCATTCCCAAATATCTGAACTCTGACACAAATTCAAAGGATTTATTTGCTATCTTTGTATTATGATTTTGCCTTGCATTCTGGTGAAAAGACATCAACATATATTTAGTTTCCTCTGTTGTTTACATTTATACCAACCTCCTTATCAGCATCAATTAGGGCCTCTGTTTGTAAGTAGATATGAAATTGCACCATTTTGGTCATGGCTTATCTTAAGGTAACTTGTATCCATCTGGAGAGATGGAAAGGACCATGAAATATCTATCAGAATAGCCTCTAATCCTTCTGAGTACTTTCTGAATAAAAGTTCAGTCCAGTACAGCTGTACCAATTTACTCCCCATAATATAAGCCAAGCAAATTCTTCTGTTGGAATAAAGCAACTAGAGACTAAATATCAAGATCTTAATAAGAACTGTAAACACGAAGGAATACACAACTGGAAACAAAAGAGTCAGCATGTCATGTTACACTGAAATGCCACCTGGAATGACTGAGAAAAACCATGAAATCTTAGACAGGACTATACAGCTGGCAATATTTGAACTGGATATGAGAGAGATGTATTATCACTTTGTTTAAGCAGTCCCACAGAATGACTGAATTTTAGTAATGATTAAAACAGAAATGTTTTCCAAACTCATAGCTTACACTAAATCATCTTAAGTACTGACTTGTTGGATTAATTCCTGCATTGTGTATATTCTAGATTTTGTTCTCCCCATATCCTTAGTGAACCCTCCTCCAGCATCAACCACAAAGTTAAGCAATGCTTGAGGAAATATGCCCTCCTTGCGGTAGTTTTCCACCTTGATGTCTCCTTGTCGTTTGGACAGTTTTGAACCATCTGCATTTAAAATAAGTGGAAGGTGGGCATAAACCGGAGGCTTCCATCCAAATGCTCTGTAAAATAAAACACGTTTCACTCAAACGAAAATAATACAGTATACAGAAGTTTCTTAATTATTATATAATAATTTCTAATGTGCCCATCTACCACATATTCTAAAGGCAACTCTAAAGTCTGAAACTGAATATGCATATAATGGGTGACAGGTTAGTAACCATAAAATTGCAAGAGGTTCTAGGAAAAACTAATCACCTGCTTTCCTTAGATACAACACAGACTCCACAGAAAACAAAACAAAAAAATAGGGGTTTATACACAGACACACAGAAAGACAGCAATGTCATCTCATAAGCCTCATTTTATTTTAAGGAAAGTTGATTAAAATGTTCTGATGCAATTTTCTTTGTCTATATTTTTGCAACCCAATATAAAGAGAAAACTACAGAAGAAAACATTTTTGTTTGCATCAGTCTGTTTCAGAACTATAATTAAACTGGTGAATTTATGATGCTTACAAATGTGTTAGACAACTTTATTTCCTATACACAAATTACACAGAAAAATGGAGAAAAAAATGAACTGCTTCAAGGAAAAGTGTTATGTTATTGATGAATTTGTAACATTTTGCACAGGGTGTATCAAAACACACAAAAATACTCTTCCAAGCTTGAGTCAGGAGTAAAAGAGTGTTAAAAATTCTCATATTGCCCAGAAATAAGATTTTTCAAGTCTGACAAAAGGAAATTAAATCAAGGTTGACATAATTAAGATTTTACATTCAGAAGGCTCTGCAATGAAAATGAAATCTAATGTTAGCAATGTGGTGAAAACAATTTTTGCATGATGCCCAAAAGTATTCAATGTCACAAAGTAAAAGTACCATAACATACCTTACACCAGCACAACGTATAAAAATCCTTCCTTTAAATTTGTCTTAACACATATCTGTGTATGTAGACAGCTAGTAATGTTAACCTTCTATGGTAAGTAATGTACCTGTACAGTAATATATGCTTGCTTGTTGAGATCTGCCATTCTACGCCACGTAACACATGAGAGATTTTCATAAAGTGGTCATCAACAACATTTGCAAAATGATATGTTGGATATCCATCTGATTTTATGATGACAGGGTCACCTTCATTTAGTGCTACATTATAACTTATTCTACCATAAACAAGATCTTCAAAAGCCTCTTCATCTGACATCAGCTGAAAAGATATAATGTACTGTATTAAGTTCACATGTGAAATCATTCATTTCTGACTGACCAATAGCTTCAAGTTTTCAGCTTCTGAAACATGTAATCAGTTAAAAAATAAACAAAAATATATATCTCAAATGTGCTGACAAACTTTGGGGATAAGCACCACATATCAAAACATCAAAACAAGTTCATATAAATATGGGTCTGCAGATGCTTCCTTTCTGAGTTAAAGCACTCAAAGGATGCATTTACAAGTGCTCAGAATGTCCTCCATCAGATTTAACATGCTTGGGTATTCATCATGGACTGTTAAACCCATTCAAAGATTCTGGGATAGCTGCGGATAGTCTGACGGGTGTTCACAATGTGCTGTGGAAGTGCCTCCATGTTGCGAACAGGAGCTGGATACACAAAGGCTCTTAAGTGTCCTCACAGGATGAAATCCTGAGGATTGAAATCAGGTGAGCATGGGGACTGTGCAGTGGGTCCTTCTCTGCCTATCCATCAGTTATAATAAATCCTGTTGAGTACATCTCACACAACACATCTGAAACGTGATGAAGCACCATCATGCATGAACCACATGCATTCCCTGACAGCCAGTGGTACTCCTTCTAGTATACTGGGCAAACCAATTAACAGATCTTGCCAGTGGTTCCCTGTTAGCTGACACTGCAAAACAACCATGCCTACCAAACAATCATAAATAATACTTGCTCAGACATTAGTGTTGAACTGTTGCTGGTGTCTAGATTGGAGTGCACCACAAGGATTATCCTCTGGCCATGTCTACAAGAACCTGCCTCATCTGAAAAAAAAAAAAGCAGTGACAAAAGAAACAGGTGATCAGCACCCTCCTGAACAAATCACTGACACGAGGTCTCTTGTGCTGTACAATCAGTAGGTTCAAGGCCCTGTACTTACAGTAAATGGTATGGGTACAGCAACCACTCATGCAGAATTCTCCAGATGGCCCTTTGCACAACATTTCACTCTGTCACCATTTCTGTCTCATGATGACACCCAGATTCTCTTCAATATGGCCTAGGACATGCTCCTAAACATCAAGTAACTTGATGGGGCTCTCTCCTCCTCATTTGACAGCAAACGGCTTACATGTTCAGCCCCTCTAAACTGACAATCCATGGTGGCAAATGTTTTATGGTTTGGATGGCAGGGAATCACATCCCTGTGACCACTGCCATTTGCAAGGCCACTCTGTTAAAACAGATACTCATCCATATTGTAGTATGCATGATAACACACTATAAGAAAATTAGAATTTTGCACTACATATTGTGACAGTTCTTCTGCAATTTGCCACTACACATAAGCAGTTCACATGACCAACACTGCTCAACTGCTGAAAATTGTACTGTAACCAGTGACACTAATAATGGCATTAAGAACATGCCTGAAGGTCAAATATATGCCTACAGCAGGCTTTTACTACCCTGCGAGAAAGATAAGAGGCATGAAAGGTGAAAATATCACTTGAAATTTGCCAGGCAGTAACTTGCGGGGGGAAAATGCATTTGCAGAACCATGTATATATGAACTTGTTTCCTTGTTTTAGTATGTGGAGATCATAGTAAAAACAGAAAATGGGAGAAAGGAAGGAAGACACGTGGTAAATATGAGAGGAGATTCCATTACATACAGAATAGTAATAATAATAATGCCTTATGAAACAAGGCTGAAAGAGAAACAGCATAAAACACTGAAAGTGATGACTACATTGCTGTACAAACCTCAAATTTGAACTAAAACAGGAAGGTGAGAACTTGGACTACAAATATCTGCAATGACATTTCTAAGATCAATAGTAAAAGCAACAATGCATACAGATATCGGTACACTCTTCCACTTAAGATGTCTCACAAAAATGTATTAAGGTTGAATGTGTATGTCAGATAAACTGCACTGAAAACGAATGCAATTGCAGTTAACATGTCTGGACATGTCACGCATATCAGATGTCTGAGCTCATTTCATTGCTTCAGTTATTCATGGTCAGCATTCAAAACTGAAGCACTTTTGTCGTGTGCTGATTAATAACATTCAAGAACATAAGAAAACGTGTTAAATGTTGATACTTAGAGAGGTAAACTGACACTCATCAAATGATGCAAACAGCACTTTGTACAGCCAAAAATTTGCGAATGAGGCATTCTCAGCCAAGGTTTGTATCACGACTGCTCACGCAGGAGCAAAGAGAATATGAGATGCTATTGGAAAGTTCCTGGACTAGGTCACAAAAGAAATATGGGCTTAACTTACTCAATTTACTCCTATCGTTTTTCCACACTCCAAAAACACTACTGAAGTCATTTTCCTTAAAGTTGTTGAGAACCACTCGCGATTCCCCTTGGATGTCAAAACACCATCCCTTTAGTTTCATTTTCAATTTGGGAAACAAAGCGAAATCACAAGGGGCTAAGTCTGCCAAGCATGTTGCTAGTTACAAACTCAGTGCTTTCCAGGGACGTGGGGGCAGGCGCATTGTGATAAAGAAGCAATGTGGGACATGTTCAAATTTTATGTTAAGATCTCCTGGCAAACACCATAACTCATCCCAACAATGTCTGCAAGCTCAGGGATTGTTTGGGGACGTTCTTTGTGGATGAGTTCTCAATTCTTTCAACATTTTCTGTCGTTCAGCTGGTGCATGGTCACCCTGAATGTTCACCATTTTCAACTGACTCTCGATTGGCCTTGAAATGTGAATGTCATTAAAAAACTGCTGTACAGCTTAAAGAATGTTCTCCATAAGCCTCACGAAGCATTTCAAAGGTTTTGGCAACTGATTTACCAAGCTTCATGCAAAACTTGATGCAGGCATGTTGCTTGATTTTGCCATCCATCACAGACAAAACAAAATATGAAGTCGAAAATGCATTCATGCAAACACAATTCGTGTTCGCAGTGTGGTGTCATATCGCAGACTGATGCATTAGGCTTGTGAAAGTGTGACCTTGGCCTCCCCCTCATCTTCTTTCACATAGGCAGTTACAAAAATAACAGTCTGGGAACTTTCTGATTCCACCTCATACTTCTGCCTGTCTATAACTTTTGACTTTCTCAAACATGCAGAGCATAACTAAAACTTCTTAAAATTATCACAGAAGTCTTGTTCACTACAACAAATGGAAAAAAGCATACTATATGGACAGCATAATCAAGTGATGCTGTTTTGTCATTCGTACGGTGATGTTCACCAGATGCACCATAATATTCCTATATAATATGAAAGTTAAAGTGTTCAACAACCTGGCCAAATGGGTTAAGCAATTTTCTATTATCATCTGCTGTTTGCTACTGAAATCACATTGATATTTTGGCACAAGATTTCTTTACATCTTTGGCCAAAATGAATCTTACCATTTTCTCATTCACGTTCAGTTCGTCTGTTCCCTTACAAACCAATGATCAAAAACCCCACCACATCAGTGACTTCCTTCATAAATAGCTCACATCTGAAGCTGCTGGACAGCCATATCTCTTTAACATTTATAACCATTCACTTTCTGTCTTTAAAATGCATAATCTGCATAAAAACGTGTGTTCTACTTGCTGTTTCATGTCTGTATGCTTGGTGAAGTAGACTTTAAATCAGTGGTCTTTTTACCAAGATTCATTGAAATTTAATATTGATTTTTGGTCATAATAATTCATCACGTATGGTTTTGAGATAATATCCAAATGGAAGTAGTACAGTAATGTTTGACAGACACTGTCACAAGAAAATACTACCAATCCACAACAAAGTGAATCTATATTCCAATACATGTCATCTCATCAGCACAAAGTACATCGTTATGATTATTTGAAAACCATGTTGTTTTTTTTCCTTGGCACTACAGCCCCAGTGGGCCTAGGCCTACCTCCATGAACTTCTCCGTTCACTTGAAAACCATGTACAAAGAGGGATTTATACAGGATGACAAAATAAATGCTTAACTGTAAATAAAAAGGCAGAAGAAACATACAAGGTCATTATGAAATAGGAATGCAACAGTATTGAGCCAGTTAGAATGGGAGCTATGCCTATACTGAAGGATAAGGTAATAGTTAGTTGCAAGAACAGAACATAAACAATATGAAACAGTGTTGCATGATGAGATTTTTTTGTAATTTAAAAATGTTGCTATACTAGCAATTGACAATGAAAAGAATATGTCAATAATTTATTAAGACTGATAAATAAGTAAATTTTTGATGAGAAATGAGAACTGCAGAGCACATTCAATTCCAAAGAAGTCAAACTATTCAAAATCTGTTAAGTTATGCTGAAGGGAATTGTACTACAGAGAACTAACCCAGATTTAGGTATAAATAACTCACTTTGCTGGACAATTCTTGGGACCAAAGTGAAGTTGGTTAAACTTACTGCAAAATGGACTATGCCAAAGAGGAAACGAGGGGAAACAGAAGAAAGAATAGGATAGAAATGAAACCCAAGCCAAGGACATGAGGCTGTACCCAGGGCCCAGGCTGCTATGAGTTGTATGCATGAATGACAAAAGATCAAAGTTTTGTAGATGATAAATGAATGAAAAGTAAGTTTCTTCCCCTTCTGAAATAAGAAATACATTTACTACACCCTGATTGATTGATGTGTTATTGATCACTGCTCTTTCAACTGCACAGATTATATATAATATTAAACTGGAGAGATGAGGCAGATATGGTTGTGGCCTAGTCTAAGGTACTATCACAGAAGTTTTCTGGAAGAACTCTGGAAATTCAGGAAAACTGTCAGGATAGCCACACTCTGTGCTGAGGCTAGGCACTAGCACTCTCAAATACAATGCAGGAGTACTAAGCACTTAACTGTGGCATTTGGTACTGTACCTTGAAGCGTATACAATAATTATCTCCTCTATCCAGTCGCTCTTTAACTTCTTCTTCTGACAGATGACGACATCTGTTATCATAACGGGGGACTTGCCTTGCTCTGAGAGCTTCACGTCTCAGTAAATCTAAACGACGGTCAGTACAGAAGCAATAATATCCTTCACCTTTCTCCAGAATAGATTTGACCTGATTTCTGGATGGAAAAAGTTAACAATAAATTGTTACATTTCCATTATATGAAAATTACAGCAGTGATGTGTAAGAGCTTCTGTCTCTCCAGCTTCAGACCAAATGAATTCTATGAAGCAGCACAGACATATGAAGAACTCAATCTTAAGGGATATAATGTCATGTAAAGGGAAAGTCATCCGTCTTTATTAAGCACTATGCCACGAAAACATATGGGTGAGTTTCATACAGTTCAACCTTTCTTGGCCTCAGCACTAGATCGAGGTGAGTGGTCAGCTTCAGACCCCTGCCACTTTACCCCCAGAGAAAAGGACCCTGTTACCTTCTGTACAGGGGGCTGGGTGGGTCCCAGAACCGGTCTGGATGCTGTGGAGAAGAGAAAAATCTTGCACTACCAGGAATCAAACCTGGGTTGTCTAGCCCATAGCCCATTGGTATACTGACTGAGCTCTCTTGACTCACCATAATGTCATGTAGTGAAGTGAAAGTCAATTGAAGTTTTGGACAAACACACTGCCTTTATCTTCAGGGAAAAGTAAGCCAAGAAAGGAACTAGCATAAAGCAAGGCACCATGGTCTCCAGCTCACAGCATACCCAGTATGCTGGTAACTGTAGCCTCACCACTGTGATGTGGGGGGGCTCTCAATTCTACTAGGAAAGTGAAGCCAGCCTACTGTGTTGTGGGCCTTGGCCTTCACTTCTGATATACCTGTGGTCCATCATGAGAATGTAATATGTACAGGTAGGAATACAAAGGTTCTCTATAAGAAAAGTATAACTTGGCAACATTGGAAGAAGGCTTGTTCAAGTCTGCTGTACATTTAGGGGCCTACAATGAATGAATCATTTGCCTCTATAGTTCTAACAAGTTCAAAAAGTGCTGCCCACCCAGAAACTATAAAGTAACATCAACCAAAGATAGTTTGTTCCAAAATATACAGACTGGCGCACAAAATGATCCAGTAATTGATTTAGTATTAAATATCCAACAATGTAATGAATTATGTTTTGTAACATTGTAACACTTACAGTAGATAATGGAGATTACTTCTCATTCTTCCTGAGCGCGCTAGTGCCGTGCTGTTCCTGCTCGTGTGACAGTTTACACAAGATGGCTGACAAAGGAAGACTGTCTGTAGGACAACACATAAAAACAGTGTTGTTCTTTACTGAAACAAGGAGTGTTGTGGTCACACAGAGGCAGTTTCACACCCATTTTCAAACATGATGGGCGCCTTCGCTCAAAACAATTCATAAACATTATGACCAGTTTATTAATGATGGTGACCACCTGTGTGGTGTAGTGGTCAGAGGTTATGGCTACAGGTCCAGAGGTCCCGGGTTCGATTCCTGGCGCTACCAGATTTTCTGAGAAGCAGTAAGTCTGGAACAGGGTCCACTCAGCTTCATGATGACTGAGGAGCTATTTCAAGGCTACTTCGGTCTAGAAAACCAAGATTAATGGCCGTGGCGATCCGTTGCGCTGATCACTTGACACCCTCTATCCACAAAAGTTGGCACTAACTTCGCCAACAAGTAGCGGTTGCTCGGTCGGTATAGTTCGCTTGCGGACTACAGGCCACGGAGTTTCTTCGTTGTTTTCTTGTTTTTTTTTAATAATGATGGTTCAGTGTTGGAGAGGGAACATCGCCAGCCTTCATCTGTGTGTTGTCTGGAGAACAGTGACGCTGTCAGAGTGGCGCTGCAAAGCCCCAGTAAATCAACAAGGAAGGCTGCAGCACAACCAAGGATATACGTAGGTTGTAACGAAAGTCATGAGCAACTCTTTTTTGCACGCAACCTGGGAGCAGCAGACGAAAGAGAGTATGGTGGTAGGCAGAACCAGCTGTTGTGTTAACCTTGAGTTTCTTGTGACATCAATAGCTTGCATCACGTGACCAGTATCACTCGTAACAAAATGGCCGATGATATGTTGTTTCGCCAGCGCGCTGTCAACGAATTTCTTGTGTAAGAGGATATCCCTGCCACAGAAATTCACCAGAGACTTCAGTGTGCTTATGGAAGTGTGTGCATGGGTGTGAGCAGTGTTTGAAGATGGTTGAAACATTTTAAAGATGGGAACACCAACATCGAAGATTAGCCTCGGAGCAGTCGTCCTCGAACAGCCTCAACTGAACCCAAGAAGGAAAGAGTGGATGAGATCATTCAAGAAGACAGGCGTGTGACTGTGGACACAATAGCCTGAAAACTTGGAATAGGGCACAGTGCAGTACAGGAGATGATTGAAAGCTTGGGCTATAGGAAAGTTTGTGCTCGTTGGATCCTGTGGTTATTGACTGAAGACCACAAAGGTCAGCAAAAAGCCATCACCTCAGAACTGCTGCAGAGATATCGACACGAAGGCGATGATTTTTTGCTCTGTATTGTGATGGGTGACGAAAGCTGGTTTCACCATTTCGAGCCTGAAACGAAATGGCAGAGTATGGTATGGCACCATTTGCATTCTCCATCAAAAAATAAGGCAAAGACAGTGCCATCAGCTGCGAAGGTGATGGGCACAGTCTTCTGGGATGCAGAGGGTTTATTCTTGCCGAATTCCTGGAACCTGGGCAAACCATCAATGCTGCTCATTATGTCCAGACGCTGCACAAGCTCCGTCGTGCATTGCACGATAAACGTCCGGGACGAAACATCATTATCCTGCATCATAACGCTCACCCCCACGCCACTCACCTCACAATGGAAGCAATTGCAAAGATGGGGTGGAAAGTTCTTCCACACCCCTCCTATAGCCCTGATCTGGCACCCTCCAACTACCATCTTTTCAGATTTGTGAAGGATCAGCTGCGTGGACAACGATTTGAGACAAGGGAGGCAATTCAGAAAGCAGTGCGTCAGTGTCTTCAGATGGCTGGAACGGAATTTTACAGAAGGGGAATTTTCAAACTCCCAGAACGTTGGGAGAAATGTGTACAAAGAAGTGGCGATTATGTGGAAAAATAAAGAAAGGTCCGTAGATTGAGGTGGTGTATTTGATTTGTCAATAATAAAGCATGTTACTTTACAAAAATTGTTGCTCATGACTTTCAGTACGACCCTCGTACAATTAGTGTAACGAACACGGAAAAGTTATTTGAATTTGTATCCATACAAAATGACAGTGTTGCCTAAATTTACAGTTTACAACAAACATTAAAGAATGGCATTTGCTCAATGGGCTCAGAATAATGAGGTCTCATTCAACAATGTTTGGTTTTCTGATGAGGCACACTTCCACTTGGAAGGTGTGGTTAATAAAGAACATGTGCAAGTTTGGGCATCAGAGAATCCACATGTGATTCATGAGGTGTCATGCATCAAGAATTACAGTGTGGGTTGCCATCTCAAGTTACTGACTGCTAGGGCCACTTATCTTTGAATAAACAGTGAACAGTGAGGGATATTTAATCACGAAGCGCAATACCTTTGTGCCACACCATGTTACAAGTTTGCCATTACAAACTCAGTGGTTCGTGCATGATGAATCCAGGCCACAACAGCGAATGTTGTTTTGGACGTTCTGAATGACACTTTCAACTCACATGTCATCTCAAACTGATTTTCTGATTGTTTCACATGGGGACAGAACTGGACCCCAAATAGTCCCGATTTAAACCCATGTGACTTCTTTCTTTAGGGATTTCTTAAGGGGAAGATTCTTCCAAAAAAGCCACAACTGATAATTGAATTGAGAGCACTGATCAATCAGGCCCACAGCATGAGTAAACTGAGGATATGTGCTGTCAAGTAATCAACCACATTGCAGTTCATGATGAAGAACTTCCCGGATTTAATGGTGGTCACACTGAACACTTGATCACAGAGGACTGATCTCCAAGCAATTGTCTTTTTTTCTTGGATGTTAGCCTCTAACATGGTAATTGAAATATAGGTTTTTATTAATAGATCAAATACTGGATCCTTTCATGCATCACACTGTATATATGCACTTGGGCAGATGGGAAAACAATTTTCTCACCCAGTAATTCTCAACCATGGCTACTGCCAAGTTGACAGAACCTCCAAAAAAGAAAGTTAAGTTCCTAGAGCCTGATCAGTTACCTTAAATTACACCAGACAGTGACAGTGACTAATCTGAACATGATTACAATGAAGCTGGGGATGAATAAAATTATGAAGCTGGGGATGAATAAAATTATGAACAATGTGTGCCAGATCAGTACAGCTGCAACTGAAACTGGCACACTCACAAAGTGGTACATTGGGGGTTCTAGTGTACATACCACTACCGAAACACCACACAGCCTCAGTCCATCTCATGTCTCCAAAGAAGAAGGCAGTAAAATTACCTGTGCTTAATTAATTAAGCACTATGCCATGGAGACAAATTGGGAAGTGGAGGTATAGCTCCACCATTTTTGATCTCGGCACTAGCTGGAGGTGAGTGGTCAGCTTCATGCACATGCCACTTTACCCCTAGGGAAAGAGCTCCCAGTACCCATTGTATAGGAAGCTTGCTACATACAATATGTAGCAAGCACAAGGCTTAAAATGGAATTTGTAATATTGGCCATAAATACCTTAATAGCCTTTTTTGTAATTTTAATTCTAATTTTTATCCATTTCATATCAAGTTTAATGTCTAGCACCCTGTTGTGTTACAATATACAACCGCTTTATTACAACTGTCACAACACAAATAATATCAAGATCAGTGCCTAGTTTTGGCTCTGCTACATGTTTTGGCTATCAATAGCCATCATCAGTTGATTTGTTGTATTGTGACGGTTAATAAAGAGGTTATATATCAAAGTGTATAAATCACTAGAATTTTAGCATATATTTACACAATTAAGAAATGAATGGCATTTAGAACAAAACACCGCACAATCTGTTTTATCTCTGCAAAAAATGACATTTCATAATTTTACGATCCTTACTTTGGATATTATTCAGGTTTCTCTCACAGCCTACCCTAAAATTAAAATGCCTGCAAAAAAAAAATAAAAACCTGTATGGCTATTACCACTATGGCATTTAAATGTCCATTATTTAAAAGTTAAGCTTGCCTAGGAGAATCCAAAGGACTGTGCTTGCTGCTGCTTCCTGCTAATTTCTTGCTTTGCTTATTCATAATCCTGAAGGTGGAGATATGTGCCTCATGAATGGTGGTTGGCTTTCAGTGGACTACACAGTATTACATCCCAGAAGACAAGAGATTTTCATGGCCATTGTTGTGAGAACCTCAGATTCAACAATATGGGTACACAACTGCTTGATACACATATTGGAGAGATGATGATAAACCTTCTGTCTCATGCATGTCACACTGTGATAACACAGCAATCACAATTATGTAGCCTACCTGTATAAGGACAGACGTTCTGACTGCTTATAAGGTCCGTAAGGGCCACCTACAGATGGACTTTCATCTGGTACAATTCCAACCCATTCTAAATCATTTTCAAATTTATCAACTGCGTCAGGAACAATCCTGCTTTGATCTGTGTCTTCTATTCGCAATATAAATTTTCCACCATGCGACTTTGCAAAGAGATAATTATAGAATGCCGTTCTTAAACCACCCAGATGTAAATGACCTGAAATTTTAAAATTAACTGTTTAGTAGACAATAATTTATATTGACGACGTACGGAACTATCGAGTATTATTTATGTAGTACCTGTTGGACTTGGTGCAAACCTAACTCGCACTTCTCGAATTCTTAGGGCTGTTGTCATGAACGGCCTTTCACAAAATATCTTCGACGGTGTCCACAGAAAAATATTTTTCCTAAGACTCATGCTGTATAAATTTACGTCGTCCTTAACCTTGGTTTTACCTTGACATTAACTTATAACCTAACGCAATTGAACTTAATCCAATTGTCAGCAAACTACACATATTTCCTAGTGAACGAGCTAGGAAATGATTTTAAAACTGTAGTACTTAGATGGTCAATCGCATTACCAGTGTAACATTTAACTCTTAAGCACAGCACTTTTCAATACTCTGCAACTTTTCCTCCCGTTACATTACATGAAGCATAATATCTGTGAATTATGAACGGATATTAACTTGTGGTTACTCCGTGGTCGCATATAAAACGTGAGTTAGTCATCAGGGTCATCAGCAGGACCCGGATTTTGATGACCTGTAAATGTTAACAATGAAAAGGGATTTTGCTAAATTCATGTAAATGAAGGAAGGAAAATGTGACCTGTTGAGGAATGTAATGTGAACTGCAGAGATGGACCATCACGTGTGCATCTGTGCAGAAATGTGGTAATTGTACAGTGCTGTAGGAATTCTCTAATGTAATTTTAATGTGAACTGCAGAGATGGACCATCACGTGTGCATCTGTGCAGAAATGTGGTAATTGTACAGTGCTGTAGGAATTCTCTAATGTAATTTTAATGTGAACTGCAGAGATGGACCATCACGTGTGCATCTGTGCAGAAATGTGGTAATTGTACAGTGCTGTAGGAATTCTCTAATGTAATTTTAATTTTTATGTGTTTCATAATCAGTTCTTCAGGTGTATTCTTACAAGCCCTTTGATTGTAGCTGAAGACCACAGTAGATGACTTGAATGACATATACACTCAGTACAAATCTAGCTAAGGTAGTGGCTGGGCAGACAAGTCTCACAGAAGACATTGTCACTTACTTACTAATGGAGCTCAGCCCTTCTGGAGGAGCTGCCAGTTCTGCGGCTACTCAAGAATTTCCCTGCATTTTATGGAACCCGAAATTTCATCACCGTGTTCACAAGAGCCCTCCACTGGTCCCTATCCTGAGCCAGATATATCCAATCCATACCATCCCATCCTCTCTCTCTTAAGATCCATTTTAATACTGTCCACCCACCTATGCATTGGTCTTCCCAGTGGTCTCTTTCCTTCTGGCTTTTCCACCAATATCCTATATACATTCCTCATCTCCCCCATTCATGCTACATACCCTACCCACCTCATCCTCCTTGACTTGATCATTCTAATTATACTTGGAGAAGAGTAAAAGTTATGAAGCTCCTCATTATGCAGTTTTCCTCAATCTCCTGTCACTTCATCTCTCTTCGGTCCAAATATTCTCCTCAAACACCCTCAGTCTATGTTAGTCCCTTAATGTCAGAGACAAAGTTTCACACCCATACAGAACCACATGCAAAATTATAGTTTTGTATATTCTAATTTTTATGTTTTTGGACAGCAGACGAGAAGACAGAAGGTTCTGGACTGAATGGTAGCAAGCATTACCCGAGTTCAATCTCCTCTTAATTTCCTCCAGAATCAGGTTTCGATCTGTTATCGTTGATCCCAAATATCTGAACTGTGCCACATTTTCTAAACATGTTTCCTATCTTTATGCCATGATTTTGGTGACGAGACAGCAACATATACTTAGTTTTCTCTGTGTTTACTTCTAGACCAACCTCTTTACTTGTGTCAATTAAAGTTGGTGTGTTTTTCTTTGTGGTATCTACATTATCACCCAGTAGATTGACGTAATCGGCATACGCCAACAGCTCATGTGTCCCGTTTAATTTCAGTCCCACCTGGTTTCCCTGCACCTTCCTATTGGCATATTCTAAAGCAAAGTTGAAAAAGAGGGGAAGGAGAGGTTTCGTTTATTGCGCATTGCATCATGTTAATGAACAGACACAAGTTTTGGATTAATAATTTATTTATTTAACACATGATTTTTAACTACAAATAACTGTGACACATCTGCTAAGCTATACAGTTTACAGAGTTAGTATTGAATGTCAGCTAATATGTTACAATTTGGCCTCAGCCTTAAATGTGGGTTTCTTTTCAGCCTGCAGGTTGTTAACTTATTTTTTAGTTTTATAATGTGTGTTATCTTCTCATAGATCTCATCTTCTAGCTTCCGTATTTTATCAGCTGCTACTGCAGGCTGGACAGGAATGTTCACACTAGCGTCAGTTTTCAGCAGTAACCGGTCTATCTCGTCCTTTTGAGCTGCTACTGTTGCTTCCAGTGTCCTCGCCTCCTCTTCAGCTGCTATCAGAAGATTAGCGGCAATTTTGAGCATTTCTGTTTTCACCTCCAATTCCTCGGTCAGCAATAAATTAGCCTTCTGAAGATTGAATGCTGTTCGCTTTGCCCCTCTCGCAGCTTGAATGATCTCTTTACTGGCTGCCATTCTTTGCGGCTTTCCTTTTATTACTGATGCCAGTTATACAGGTCTGTGATGTACTGCCTTGTAGGTTGACTTATATCCTCTGGACACCACCAACACAAGCCGCCCAGCGGACCAATTGGCACTTGAGGTGCAATCGGAAGACTCAGCTTGAGATAAACAGCCACTTTAAGGGCCACAAATTGGCTGTGATGCCCATTCTAAGTGCAGCAAATATTTATTGTTATAGTTTCTAGTGGCTGTCTTAGTGAGTATCGACATCCCACACCTCTAATCGGACAAATGGGAAATGCTCCTTCCAAGAGTACTTCTAGCGTTGCGCACTGGTGTGAGAATACAGGAGAAAAGAAAACACTGGGTGCACACGTTCTTTCTCTACAATTTAAACTCAGGTGTTTATATTGTTTCAAAATAATTTAATTATCATGTAAGGTTTCTGATTAGTTATTTTCACTTTCTTTTCATGAAGCATACAACAAAGACAGTGGTGTATCACAGTACCACTATCTTTTGGCAGAAGGCATATAATAAAATCAATATCTTGACTGATGTCTGGCTTCCAAAGAGTTTCTTGTTCATTAATTGCTGCACTAAGTCAAGATGGCTTCTTCTGCACAAATTAAATTGATTTGATGTGGATATCACAGAAATGATAGCTAATTCGAGTTCACATATAAAAACAGATTCAGTAAGTAGTAGTGACAATGACTCAGATGTTGAAAAGGATCTTGTGCCAAACATGTCTGGTACAATTCTGTCATAATTAGCCAAATGTCTATAATGCTTTGCCACGATGTTAGAATGTTTAGAAGGTACTGTAAGTTTAAAGTTAATCTGTATTTTATTTTAACATATCCTCCATTTTGAAGAGGGTGGCTACAGTTATCCTCCCAGAAGAGTAAGTTTCATGGAAAGCATTTCTTTTAAGAAGTTTCTGTATATAACTTTGAAATAAACAAACATTTTGTGCAATTCTATGATGTATCAAATGTTCCTAGCAATTAATGTGAGAATTTGGCTTAAAATTATATAAAAGATGCTTTTATACACATCTGACCACTTGTTTTATTCTCATAGCAAAGATCTAATATCAGTCCTTACTTAATATAAGTAACTCAACTAACTGAACTGTTCAAGCACAACAGACCACTGTAGGTCACGTTGCAAGGGCCAAGAAGGCCTACCCCTCATACAACTGAACTGTTTACAACGGCGTGTAACAATTGTATGCATCCAGTAATATGAATGCAACAAAGGCTTGGTTCCAACAGTGAAACACGGGGATGCTCTGCAATGGTTTGGGAAGCAGTATTGTAGAAGAGCTTCCTGTTGGTCCCGTTATTACCCTTCATGGCCGAATTACTGAAAGGGAGTATGTAGACAGTTTGGTAATCAGGTGCATTCCATGAGCCAGACATTTCTCAAAAAAGATGCAGTTTTCCAAGATGATACCCAATTCACACAGCTGGAACTGTTTGTTCAGTCATGAGTTAAGGAGCATGAAGGTGAGCTTGAACATTTTTCCTGGCCAGCAATTAACAGATTTGAACATCACTGAACCACTCCAATCAGCTTTGGGTTCCTATCTCAACATTCCTAAAGCAACATGAATAAGTTCTTCAAGAAGAGTGGTATAAAATTCCATTAAAGACCGTTCAAAATTTGTAGGACTGCAGCTGCTTTGAAAGAAAAAGCTGGTTCAACATCATATTAATACAGAAATGTGTACAATATCCGTAGTGTAAGATTTGAGGTTTTCACATGTAGCCATGTCCCCCACCCCCTTTCCTTCCCTGCTCTCATATAGCTGAATTTATTTTCCAACATTAGTCTGCTTGCAACTGTTCTCTCTGTCTCTTCACCAGCAGATTTTTTTATTTTTCCTTCTACACTGAAGATGGAGGCGATACGTTCCTCCAAAACGTCAGTTAATACCACATCTATACAGTGCCACATCCCAGAAGACTGCTTTCCTCAATATCTGTAGTCTTTCCATTATTCTTCTGTCCATCCCCTGTGAATACAAAACTGGGTTTTGGACAATGCTTCAAAAATAGCAGACTTCATCAACACTCTACATTCTACATATACACTGGCGATGTGCAAATTAAAGATGTATTCTATTTTGTGGGTAAAGTATCCCTCTGTAACTTTCAATTGACATTTTCTCTAATCTTGCAATAAAAACAAGAACAAAAGAGTGACTACTTTTGAAGCATTATCCATGCCTTTGGGTGATGTTGCTGTTAAGAGATTTGTATTCAGGTTTGTTGGAAATTCTTCTACACCACTCTTTAGCCACTAAAATAGTTTTATCTTGCAAATATACATATAATCTTTTCATTTAAATACACGATACTGAACGCACAACCACCATGAAGATGAAAAGAAAATGTTCACAGGTACACTGATGGTAACACAAGTCACTGAAAAGTGTTTCTATCAGGATCACATATGATCTCTTAATTAAGTATGTAAATACTCATTTAATAAATGCTTCTGCTGGAATTGTTCCTTGTTTATTCAGCTCAGTGAAAATGAACGTGGCTCGTTGAAAATCCCACCCAGTTTCATCAAGGCACCTGTAAAAAAAAAATGGAAGTTAACTTCAGTTCTCAGGAAGTTATGTTAGCTCATATTTCCTCTTTTTTACTCTTGACACAAAGGAAATCACATGGAAGTATGAAAACAAATTGCTATGTTTACAAGAGTATAATAATATTTCTTCCAGTAATAAGGAAATGTCTAGAAGTTACAATTCTAACAAAACCTGGATCTTAACTATATCTGACACAAGTTTTTATCCACAATGTTTTGGAAAATGTATTCTTGATGTATACTGATACTGCTGTCACTAAAAGTATCTGGGCCTAAGCAAAAGTTCTGTGAAGTGAAAACTTTGCTTAAAAATGGGAACTAGTAACAGCGTGAAGATAATTTTATAAAATGTGATGCTGCACATACTGTCTGCAAGGTACTGACACACATATTGTAACAGAAAATGCGTGAATAGAGACAGATAATAATTTTACTTTTAATTTACAGATGACAAACAAATATCTGTTAATTTAAATCACTGGACACATTAAACAACACATGGGTAGGGATTATATTGGGGAAGGGGGGAGCAAAGCCAAGTAAAACAACTAACATGCCGACACTTCAAGGACTATCACCAGTCTATATGAAGTTTCCAGACACAGCTGAAGAAAAAACTATCTACACCAGCCGTGTCAAACATGCGGCTCCTCAACTTTTAGAGCTAACTGATATTAAAATCAATATTAATATTTTAGTAGAAATATTTTTTGTAAAGACAATTTTCCAACAGACCAGAAGACAAGAAGTCTCATGCAGACATAAATTAGCAGGCTGCAGGAAAAGTGATTCTGAGAATTGATTTTGATTTTGTATTGTGATTTTAGTTTGACATGCCTGATCTATACAAAAGGAAATGGCCATTAGGGGATTTAGGTACAAATGGGCAAATCATTAAAATAGAATGTAGACTTTCTGACAGTTCCCTCTTGAAGACACTCTTGAATCTTTGCTCTGTGTAAATGTGGCCAGTGTTGCCAACGTTTCTGAGGTATATGCTAGCTCCTTCTTCAGGGTCAAAGTTCATCCTACTCAATTCAACCGTGAATACAGATGGAAGCACATACCTCTAAAATGAACAACAATGTCCACTTCCACATGCAGCAAAGACCCAAGAGCATGATTGGTATGAAAGGGATATTATCTGGGTGTGAGGGTGTGGACTGCATTTAACAGGCTCAAGATAGGCCAGTGGTAGGCTCTTGTCAACACAGAAATAAACCATTAGGATTCATAACCAAATAGTTTTCATGGCATGTGGTTTGTAACTATCACCACCACGTTTATTTTCATCCTCAACAAAGTCACTGTCAGCAAGTGTTCCATTATAAAATGAAATGAAACCACAAACTAACAGAACTTCACTACATATCTCGGACATGCTCCAAATGATTTTGATATCTGTGGTCTGAGACAATGTCTAGATGGGAAACACAGCATGCAACCTACATTGGTTCTGTTGAAAAAACAGCTTATCCATTACTGACAAACAGAAAATAAGAGAACATTAAGCATGTAAGGACACAATTTTTCTATGGTGGTCTCAAATAAAACATCGATCAAAACACATTTACACGTGAACACCCTCAAAATGTTAAATGTGATTACTTCTGAGCATACTGAATATTAAAAATATCAGGTACTGACATGAACTTCCACTACTGACGATTGCTGAAACCTCCGTACTTACTTTCTTGCCCAACAAACATTCATCCCAGACTGGGCAGCAAAACTTTCTGCCAACTGCTGCTTTGCTTGATCATCCATGAGTCCTGACTGGGGAGAGGTCGCAGCTGCTACTGGTGCAACCACAGGGGTAGGTGGTGGCACTACTGCTGGCACTTGCGTTTGAAATGCCGCCTACAAAGAACATACGACATCAGACCTTTCCAAAGAAGAAGACAGCAGTACAGAATTTGTATGCAGCTGAACTTAAGAGAAGACGAAGGCAATATGTAAGTGTCATGTTTATGAAGTTATTTCCACACCTTCTAAAAGAGAGATAAGAAACACTGACTCTTCATACACTTGCTGTTAAGAGAAGCTGATTCAGTGCAAGCTGAGAGACCCATTAACCTGTATCCTGAATACATGCCATCCACATGCATTCTCATGTATAAAAACGTGGAAAGTTAAGGTTCAGAATCGTTACAGGCTTTATACTTATTGCTCGTTCATATGCTGAACAGTTTTCCAGTACTTTATTCAAAGGGAGCAACTCTAATGGGAACGGGCCAGACAAGCAGGGATTGATTCTCAGTATGGCAAAAGACTTTTCTCTTCACCATCACGTCCAAACTGACGCTGGCACCCAGCCAGCCTCCTATCCTAAAGGTAATATAGGTTCCTTTCCTGAGGATGATGTGGTTGTGGTATGAAGCTGACACCCCACCTCCACTCATGGTCACTTTCCCATACATATTCGTGGCACAGTGCTTAATTAAGCATAGGGGCCACTTTCCCATTATCTTATCGCTTGGAATGAGTACAGAGAGTGTAAAATACACTCATGCTAGGCAGGTAACGCCAAAATGCTGGCATCCAGCTAACCAACAACCAGGGAAATAACCAAAAGCTTGGCTTTTAATTTATCCGTGTTATTGGATTAAAAAAATTACACACACACAGAAGTACATGTACAATTTCAGTGTTTTATTCCATTAGAAAAGCATAAAGAGGCTGGAACTTCAAGCTGCTCTTCTGGACTCCTCTCATGAAGGAAACAAATCGTAACGTAATCAAAGATCTTAATTTAAGTGAGAGGAAGATTCTGATAAAACACAAGCAGAATATTAATGGATACAAAAGGCGCATGTTCATGTATATCACCAGGTACTGAGGTCCATACTTGGCAATAATTTGTCTTGCCTGTAAGCTTGAAATTGTTATTGTAATAATGCCCCCCCCCCTTTCCGAAACTGGCATTTTCAACACACTTTTTCATAGAGAAATATACAGAACTCACGGTGTTCTGTGAGACCAATGCTCCACAGTTAGCTAATAACAAATTTGCTTGAGAGAGATACGTACCTTCCTTTGCTCATCGGTTGCATTTGTAACGAACAGCTGCTCATTAACGATGCAGAAACCATCACCAAAAGGCACTATCATAAATACCCTGCTGAATGACCTCAGGGCCTGGTTCTTCGAGAGTCCACGCTCCATAAATAGGCCTGTGACTGATATCGAGATCAACTGTGGCTGTCAAGAAACCACAACAAAAACTGCATATAAATACAATGGACCAAAAATGGTTAACTCATTACTGTGCGTAACTTATTTCTAATGCACTTAAGTACTAAAATATAACACAGTTTTGAAGCACATCATGAAGTGTCATGTGTATGTTCTTCCTAACCCCCAAAAAGCAAGTTCCTGAAGTGCAAAGGGGGGCCAAGCTGACTCCTGCTTCAGATGTATCATGCTAAACTGTGTTACTAAGACTCCCAAGGAGCATTCTATAGAAAACTGATACATCTGCTACTATTTCACCAAATCTGTGAAAAAAAAACATAGTCTGCAGTTGCAAAATTAATGAATGCTATCATAGGCTAATAACAGTGTGTTTTCATTATTGAATGGGGAAACTGGTAGTGATAAACAAAAAGCAGTCATTCAAATCTTCCAATTTCAACTCGCATTTCATTCAAAACTGTCCCTAGTTTATGTTACATAGTAACCAAGATTCTGAAGTATCCTACTGCTGCTGGGAGCACCTTCAAACAGCTTCAGTTCATTATTAAAGTATTTCCAGACTGACAGTTATTTAATTTTTTTAAAATCTTTTGGGCCACAGCAAAAACCCTTCAATTTACTGCACTTATTTCTTGGGCACTATGTACATATTATACCAGGCTACAGACTGTATGTATGCATGTTTTTTTTTCATCTCTATGTGATACAGGAATATGGATCATTTGTAGTTACAAACAGGGTTCAACAAGGTCCAATCTTGTCTGACTACTTTTCGAGTTCTTCGGCATTATTTCCACACTAAACTCAGCAACCTGTATGCTTGTGTATATTATGAAGCAATATCTACCTGTGTCCCAAACTTACCATAAAGAGTGTGAGGTCGACAGCAAACGAATGAGGGTCATGCTGTGTCTTGGGCAGTTTGGAAAGACAAGCGACAATGGCCATTTTTCCCTGGTATAAAACCCTTTGTCTTCTGGTGCTATCTTTCACACGGAGGAGATTCCGACTATCTGTGATGTAATTCACAAGCCTGGAATGCAAATAAAATTGTGAGAGTCAAAACATTTCATAGTGGCAATCTGGTAGAAGCTTCTCAGCACCATGAAGAAATATACTGCTACCACTATCATGATGGTGTGGTCTTCCAGGTAATGATACCACATGCTGCCTCCATCTTCAGGGTAAACCATAATATGAATTTTATCCCCATAAGAAACCTCAAACACCATATTTTAAAACTGTATGAAATGACAAAATCCTGAATTATTAACTTACTTAGAAGAGGTAGTGGAACTCTGACCCGGTGGGTAGGCTGATGTGACTGAGAACATGGCATCATTATGGTACGCATTGACCAAAGGTTCTCTGTTATCACTGTCATACAGACTGTAGTACTGTTCCAGAAACTGTCGCACGATAGTCATGCCTTCTTCTGAACACAAGTAGCTCCCCTTGCTTTTTGGCAACTGTTGATCTTCATTCACGTCAAACAGTATTGGCGGAGAGAGGTCAGCCCCATCCTTCATATAAAACAAGAAACATAAGACTAACATTATACATCAATATGTCATTTATAAATTATCTGAGAAAGGAAAAGTTTCACTGTAATATTATTCTTCTATCTATGCCTAGCTCTCCCATGTGGTATCTTCTTTTTCAGATTTTCCAACTAAAATTTTGTTTGCATTTCTCTTCTCTTGCATGTGTCCTGCATACCCTTGCCTGTGTTCTCTTTGTATCACTCCAATTGTACATGGCAAAGAGCACGGATGACAAGTTCCTTATTATGCAGTTATTTCCAGCCTCCTATCACTTCAACAACAAATAACAATAACAAAAGTATTCTGTATCTGACTGCCAAAGAGATGTGTCTGCTGATTATTCATCCATTCCACCTTGTCTGTGATGTTACCGTAAATTCTTCTGATTGAAACATCATATCAGTTTTGTCACAAAATATAATAATTTAAAATCTAACACACCCCAACATACTGTACTGATCAGACACTTAACCTTTGTACCAGATGAGGGTCATCCAACTCCAAATACTATAGGGCCACAAAAAAGGAACACTGCTTTTATCACTGGTCATGCAAGAACATCGAGAGTGTAATGTGGTCCTCTAACAGAGTATCTAGGTTGAACAATGCTAAAAGATTAGCTTCTAAAAGGATTTCTTCATTGTAAGATTTGAGGCTTTCACGGCGGTGACTATGAAGAAAGCAGTCTTCTGGGATTTGGCACCGTGTATATGTGGTGTTAACCGACGTTTCGGAGGAACGTATCGCCTCCATCTTCAGGGTAGAAGAAAAAATATAAGGAATCTGCAAGCGAAGAGACCGTGAGAACCGGTAAAAGCAGACTGTGTCTGCTTGTTTCAATTTTTCTCTTAGTTCACAAACAAGCAAAGAATACACATACCACTCATGAAAGAAAATAATATTATAAATCTGTACCACTCACCAGCTTCATCACTCTTGGGAACCTCTTCCTCACTTCGCTGTAAAATAGGTTTGATCACAGTTAGCAAGGCACCGAAGAAGACGCCTGCAAACATCTCACAACAACATTAAAATACCACAATCCAAATAACGTACTTCATGGGGAAATGAACAGAACCCTCACATAAAGTGATTTGGTATATCAGAGAATCGTCATATACAAATAACGACTTTCACAAAAGCCATCTTCTGCAACTTAGATCAATTTCATCTGCTTCCCATCATTCTGTTTAAATCAGACCATGTGATGAAAAAGCCTTCAATATTTAGCTTCCATGCATGGCATGGCTAGGTTAGTACCTCAGGCCCCATCCATTACAAACTCTGTGAATATACACTGCAACGCCTAAACTGAACAAGCGCAGTTGTGCCTTTCTGGTTTATGGCAACCCAATTTCCTTATCTAATTTGAGACATCTCTATAAGAAAGCAATTCCTGAAAATCATATGTAATATTCATAAGAAACCACTATAAAAATAAACACAAAATTGTGCTTTTTAATTATCTTCATTTTAAGTTGTTTTAGAAAAGAAGTTGGGTGTGATCTTCAGACTAATTAGTCTAGACGCAAAACATCAGCTGTTCACAGGAATTCAAGCAATATGAGTAAGATATACTGCAAATAATACACACAAAAAAGTGTGCACATTTGTTTTCCAAGTGTCCTGAAACAGAATACGTGCCTTCCAAAGTTGTTTCACATGTACTATTTGACACACCAAAACATGTAACATTCAATCATATATGGTTGTACTGACAGAGGTTGAAAAATGTTAAAATTCACTTGGAGTTGCCTTTTTTATATATTTGATAAATTTAGAAGGAAAAAAGTCCATGTGAAATAAGAATCCAATATGATGTCCAATTTATTACTTATATGGGTACTTCATTATGCATGGAACAATTTCAGTGTTCCACTTTTCTACAATAATAAATGTCAGATCTTGTAATCCAGTAGGTTTGAATATATTTAAATATTTTCCTTCAAAGTTGCTCTCACTTCCCAAAATCATACATTACTTACCATCAACTGTCCATGAAGAGTGCACTCAGAAGGTCAATGGATATTCATATATGCACTGGGTTAATGGTAATGGTGCCTGCTAGCGGGAGTTAGTTCACTAACCCCGTCGCCGTCCTGGGTCACGTATGTTCATGACGCAGAAGTAAAGATGATAACTGGATAGTTTCTCACTCAGTCTTATTTTACTGCTGAGCCTAATATGCTTCAATGACATACAGTGCACAATATCACGGATCATATGAATGTAGATCGGGGATTGCCCAAGATCTCAAGGTCTGCTGCTACCAACTTAAAATCTGCATGTATTTGTAACTTTATTTCTTCCCTCACAAATCTAATTTTGTAATGTTCTTTTCACCTTGCCAATTTAAAACTTTTATGTCTTTCCTTTCATTAATTTCTATTGCTTCTTTCACAAAACATACTATATGGACTACAAGATCTGTCCACCTAGCAACAAGAAACATTTTAAAACAGCAGAAATACCAATGTTTATGAGTACCAATACTCAGCATTTTACACTTAAGGAACCATTTTTGACTGTCTCCAAGACATGGTCAGATGTTCTGTTTACAAAGATATCCAACCCATCCAATAAGTTTTAATGTTTGCTTACATGGAGACAGTATTTGATTTTGTCATCAATAGATGGCTACCTTATGCTCCTTTGTGGTCTTTCTGTGACCAATAAATGCATTTCATCAGAACTGATCTAAAAATGACATTGCAATACTAGGAAATTCCTACCATTTAAATGCATCTGCAAGGACACATAAGGCAGCTAGCATCTACTGAAGTTTCAAGGAGTTGAAAACATTTTTCCGTCATGCTGGTTCTGCTTTTAGGGGCATGTATCACTATTTACTTTCATTCATGAATCACTGGAAACCATCAATGTATCCTGTGAATCTTAACATTTTAAACATGCCATAAAATATATTTATAATTAAACTAGATGAGCTGTTATCAGATTTTCAAGAATGCTGTGACTCCATATTTTTATTTATTTTGCAGAATTCATAAATACAGCTGCAGTGGAAATATGCAAACTGTTAATAAATAGGGCAAACTTTGCATGTATGAAACAACATGGCAGACTTAAAAACTGTGCTTACAAATACACACAAGGACGAAATTTGTAAACAAAAATGTGATGTAACAAGTCAAAAACATCAAACATGCATGTGAACAGAACTGATGAATTTGTAAAATAAATTTGATACTACATCACTGAGTATAATACATTAAAAAATCAGTAAATGTGTAACAAAAATATAAAACAAAGAACTCTGTAACCTTTAGTATGAATAAGTGAAGAACAGGAATACAGGCTTCTCATGTCTTGTCCATTTTTAATTTTAATTTTTGTAATATTTGACATAATGACCATCTGAAATTTCAGTTTTGATATTAAATGGTATAGTTACCTTCCATGTACTTAGTACTCAATGACGGAATTATAATTCATGAAAGAGATGGAACTTACTCCCTGGCCCCCTCCCCCAAATAAAGAGAAAGAGAAGAGAGAGAGAGAGAAAGAGCAATCACATGTGCATAAACTGAATTCCATTACAGTTTCTGGTTTGTATTTTTCTCTTCTATACCAAACACACTTCTTTACAACTATACCTAGCTCATGGAAAGAAATCCCATCATTGGTTGGAATGACGGTGCTCAAGGGTTCCCACCAGCTCCATCTGGTCTATGTGAACGAGCTTGAACTGCTGTTTCTAGTGACAGTGATCACTATCAACAGCTGAGTCAACAGAACGGCCTGAAAACTGAAGGGCGAGTGGTGTATTATGCTGGAGGGAGATACGTAACAGCACAAGAGACATGTGTAAGTCAATCCATGGGATTTCATTCTGTGGCCTCCGTATAGGACGAAAAGGTTCTGAATATTTCTCTGAGTACTCAAAAATAAAACATGGGAACATATTATCATTACTTACATCAACTTGACTTCTTTTCCAGCAAAGTTGTGTTCAACTTAACATCTCAGCATGCAATAAATTAACCCATCACCATACCTATTGATCAAACAGGCTGCCTCAGTCACCATGTGAAGAATGTACCTAACAGCGAGCCTAATCATTTCATGAAGAATACTATTCCTTCAAACAGGACACAGTCCATATTTAGAAATTCTATCAACAGATGGCACTTCAAGCATCTCTGATCAGGCTGTGCATGGGCACTGGAATGTTGAATAGAGGCTGTCTAATAATGTGGTACCCTACTGAAAACAAATCAAGAACTTAAAAATATCTTCCACCTTCTTTAATTTCTCATATCAATGAACACCTAAAAGTCAGGCAATACTTTTTTGCACTGATAATGCATGTTCATGAACTGTGCCACAGCCCAGATAATTAAAATCTGGCTTCTCCACATTATTTTCTTTGCACCATACTGTGTTATAAAATCAAGGTATTGGAACCATTTACAAAACAATAAAGTAAATTAAAGGCTTCCTTTTGCAGAGCCTTGGGTTCATTCCCAAGTAACTTCATATGAAAGCGGCCTCCGTAGTCTAGGGGTAACGTTCCCACCTCGTAACTCAAGGTATGCGCGTTCAAACCCGGTGGAGGTCGTGCAATTTTTAAGGTAGGAAAAATTCAGGGAACAAGTCCTCCGGGAGGGACTTTAAGCTGTGGGTCCTGTGTCGTAGCTTTACGGCACGTAAAAGAACCTCATGTCTCAAGGGGACCTCTGAGCCAAATTCAGGACATTTCCCGCCCAACAGTAGTCTCTAACGCCTCTGGTAGATGGGGGAAGCATCGAGATACCACTTAGCCAGTAGAGGCTGAACTCGCTGGCTGAGTCGGGACTGATGGCATGCACCAGTACCGGTAGGGTATAGAGACTGGTATAATATCACAGGGGGATGCACAATGGACCAATATCTGGTCTAAGTGCATGGGGAAACCCACCCTCTCCAACAACAACAACAACAACAACAACAACAACTTCATATGAAATTCATGGTGGAAGAAGCATAACTGAAGGGGCTTTTTCTCTAGGTACTTTTGGTTTTACCCCACTAATCATAATTCCACTACTGCTCCACAATCCATTATTCAACATCGAATGCAGGGATGTGACAGCCATAACAAGGCAGCACATTATCGTATCTCAGTCTCTTTAAGTTAGCGGCCTCATCTCTGACTAAGCAGTTGGATGGTTACACAGCAAATAGCTTTATGCATATGTAACCATATCATAACTTTAACTTCAAGGTCCATCCTTTTTGACAATTCCACCAGCCATCTGGTGAGATGTACAGCAATTAAACAAATCCAGTCTTACCTAACATACAAATTCTTATCCTGATATTTGCTGCACAAAGGGTTCCCACGTAGCACTATGTCTTCCAGACGGAGGCTCTCTAAACAGTTCAACTGGTTCATGTCTCGAATCTAGAAATAAAGCATAAAACTCTAAAACTGAGAAGCCTGCTGAACTTGCATAAAGCTAATCTATAGCCATCATGCTCTCTAAAATGACACATACCATTTCATGCATAAAGTCACTGAAAAACAGATGCATATTTTTCATTCTAAATGAATGAAAAGTTTAAAATTTATGCTATTTCTGTGTGAAGATGCATGAGGGTTATCCAGAAAGTAAGTTCTGATGGGTCATTGAAAAAAAAAAAAAAGGAAGTTACTTTCAAACCATTTATATTGCCACTTGATCTCCATATTGCAGTACACTACTTTTCGACAGTTTCCACCATTGCCGAGGCGGGGTACCAGTATTTGTATCCCTGCATCGTAGTCCAGTTTATTGTTTAATAATAATCTACATACACAAAAAGGTTTATGGCAATATTTACCCTCAACACCGCCCCCCCAAGTAATTTCTATAAAACTAAAGTAAATAAGTAAAGGTATTCCTGTAACAGGCCATGAAGGCCCATAGGGTTGTGAGACATTGAGGGTCCCACATTTTCTAGACAATCTGCTCACAGATGGCAGTGAGGTTGTCAGCCTTACGCACTGGCCACCCTTACCCCAGGGAATATTCCTGGTATTCATTTCTGTTAGAGGCTGAGTCGACCACAGGGCCACAATGCAGCTGGAAGGAGTAGGTAAATTGAAAACTTCACCTCATTGGGATTTGATGCCGTGACCTTCTGGCTTGTAGCATAGTGCCTCAACCAACTATGCTACTGTGAGTCCCAAGATATTTCTATAGGCTACATAAAATGTTTGAGTATGAAATGACGAATGTAGAAAGCTGCATAGAGATCTACATATCAGCTGCATGTTTATAGTCTGATATCTTACTAATACTGAAACTTTTGGGGAAGTTATAACATCAGGCACCATGAAAATACTATTTTAGTAAGCGCTTATTTAATGACACTGTGAGGGACTCAGTCTATAGTTCTGAATGACTAGACAGTGGATAATTGGAAAGAATGTGGAAGGAAGTGGTCAAGGCCTAATTTTAAGGTACTTGGAGGGACTCTGGGAAAACACGAAAACTACAGTCAAGATATTAGGTGTCATGGCCAAGACTTGAACCAAGTATCTCCTCAATACAAATCATAGACATCTGGGCCACTTTTCTTGTAAAAGACTGGTGTTGTTTGTGCAATTCTTAAGTTTTCTCAGTTTCAGTCCAAATTCATGAAAATGCAACAATCTCTTTGAAAAGGAAGCAAATTTTTTCTTTTACTTCATGCAATTTTCTATTGGCCAGATTATAGAGTATAGAATGAAAAAATTATTAGTAAATAATGAACTGGAAAGGATGTGGAAGGAATGGTAATGGCCTAATGAGGTACTATCCTGATATTATCCTGTCAGGACTAAAGGAAATCAAAAAACCTTAATCAGGACTGCCAGTCTCCAGGGCACAATTTGAACCTTGGGTCTCCTGAACAAGACAGCTACTCATTCAACGGTGACAGTATGTAAAAAGGAAGCAAAAACCTACCTTAAAAATGCTTCAACATGAAGCAGAAAATCACATGTAACAAACTGGAAAATGATACAGCACTAATCAATCTGAATACAGCAACTCACCCGGTTTCTCCCGATGTGAAGGACTTTGAGGTTCGGAACTTTAACAGGAAGCACACTCAGGCTGTCAAGTGCATAAAGCTTATTGTCAGATAAGTCAAGTGCTGTCAGCTCCGGAACATTTTCCACAATGATATCCAAAACTGCCAACATCATGTTGGGTCTGAATAATGCCACGGCATAATTATCCACAAGATCTGAAAACACAATTTCAAGTTAATATTCAGTAACACTGCGCATGTCCATAATGCTAAGCACAACGGCACAGCTCTGCTCCTGTTAAATATGACATCCTCTCTATTTACATGATACACCCTTCTTTACTGCACGCTCTTCTCAGAGAGTGGGTAAAATGAACACACAATATGAAAACTGTATTTCTCAATTTGCCTGCCCATCTATGTATGTGTAGGTGTGAAAGGGGTGGCCCATAAAATCCGGCCCTCACACTACAGCCTTCAATGACTTATTGTGCTTCCCCTTTGGATTAACCCTTTATTAATCCTACACTTCCAATGAAATGCAGGACTTTATTTTGGGGGCGTCATAAAGTCATTTGGTTACATGAAGAACTGACCCAGGTGGCGATATCTTAAGCAAGCTATGGCCTCACAATCGCGCAGGATACATGCAACTGATTCATCTTCTTGTAGACACCTTTCACAGGTTGGGTCATCTGTCAGTCCCAGTTTTAAAAGGTGTCCTTTTAGGATACAGTAAGTAATCCTACAACCCACCTTAACTGATATCTGTTTAATTTCAATAGGTCTTTCGTTCTTCTGGCAGAGGGTCCTGATATAAACCCCTTGCCTGTCTGTCTACAAAACTACTGATAGACTTTGATTATGTTACATAGTGCAGTTGTAGTGAACCTGATTTGATAAATTACATAACACCATGCAGCAATGTCCCTTTTGAGAAGCTAATAGATGCTAAATTTTTTACAAAATTCCATTTTTTTCGGAACTCCAAGGATCATTACCATGCTCGTAACAGCCTGCCACTGGATTCTTTATTGACAGGAAGATAATCCAGTTCACACAAGAGTAATGATCAGTGTATGATTAACTGTGTCAACATTCACACTGATGATCCACAGTAATTTTATTTATGTTATATTTTAGCGTCCTTTTGCACTGATTTAAGTCCATGATTTATTTAAACCGTCTTGCAGTGCATACACTCATCTATCTCCGTCTCTCACTCGCACTACATGTTTCGGCATAATAATGCCATCTTCAGGTGCTTACTCAATCCACGCCAAACTAGTTCATTGCATGCCTCGTCCTCACACTAAAATAACCAAAATATATATCTATCATATACACTGACAAATGTCAAACGTTAAAAATATTAAAATTGTTCAGGATTCCACCTCGCTACGTCGCACCTCACTACGCCAGTCACGCCCATTCTCCTCTATTGGAGCAATCCTTCACTATCGTGTGTGTGTTGTGTTTTTGTTGTGTCTTGCTCCTGTGACTGCGTGTGTTATACTGTTGTACTGTTATACAGTATAACACACGCAGTCACAGGAGCAAGACACAACAAAAACACAACACACACACGATAGTGAAGGATTGCTCCAATAGAGGAGAATGGGCGTGACTGGCGTAGTGAGGTGCGACGTAGCGAGGTGGAATCCTGAACAATTTTAATATTTTTAACGTTTGACATTTGTCAGTGTATATGATAGATATATATTTTGGTTATTTTAGTGTGAGGACGAGGCATGCAATGAACTAGTTTGGCGTGGATTGAGTAAGCACCTGAAGATGGCATTATTATGCCGAAACATGTAGTGCGAGTGAGAGACGGAGATAGATGAGTGTATGCACTGCAAGACGGTTTAAATAAATCATGGACTTAAATNCACCAAGCCAAACATTGATCGTGCAGATGCACTTATTCGTGATAATAGGCGCATCACTATCAAGGAGCTTGGAGCAATGCTGTCCATCAGTGTTGGTAGTGTAGAAGACATCGTGAAATACCACCTGCACTATCGCAAGGTGAATGCACGGTGGGTACCACGCACTTTGACGAATGGGAAAAAATGGTGCACATGCAAGCTGTCAGTTGGCTCCTACAGCAGTTTGAAGATGAAGGTGATGCGTTTTTGAAGTCTATAGTGACCACCAATGAAACGTGGGTGCACTACTTCATTCCCGAGTCCCAGCAGTCATCACGCAAGTGGCGGCATACCAGTTCTCCCAAAACCAAGAGAGCGCGGAGGAGCCATTCAGCAGGAAAATTGATGGCAACGTTCTTCTGGGACTGGCAGGGGGTTATCCATGTAGACTTTCTGACAGATGCCATAACAGTCAATTCAGCTTCTTACTCAGACCTCCTGGCAACAGACGTGAAGGAAAAGAACTGATCCAAGTAGAAGACAGGTGGAAAGCGGGTAGCCTTCCTTCAAGACAATGCACGCCCCCATACGGCCAAAACAACAATGGAAACCCTTCGGAAATTGAAATGGAACCTTCTGACACATCTGCCGTAGTCCCAAATTGGCCCCAAGTGATTTCTACCTCTTCGGAAGGCTCAAATCAGACTTGAAAAGCATGTGGTTTGTGGATGACGTCATCCAGACTGTTCGGGTGTGGATATGCCACCAACCACAAGTCTTTTTTTTTTCTGGGCATCAGGATGCTTCGAGAAAGTTGGAAAAAATGTGTTGGCTCCGGGGGGGGAGTACGTTGAAGACTGACATGTGCAAGTGAGTGTTTGGCAATTATGTTTTTTTTTTAAATCAGTCCCGGTCATATTTGAACCACCTTCTAGTTAACACAAAAAAAAAAAAGACCAGTACATTACATTCTGTGTGTATTTCATAAAAAGTGATATGCCTTGATAATGACTAACTTGTTCTATCACTCTTCAGCAGCCCCTTCTACTGCAAAATGCGGTCATATAGCACTGATTATGGGTCCCCCACAGTACATATCCCTTGGGTTCTCCCTCCATCCATGCCCGGATACCACCTGTGGACACTGGTGGATCCCTGTACCCTATTTCACGAGTTGATCAAGTGTACACGCTTATGTTCATTACTTCCAAAGCCTCAACACAGGCCTGTTCAAACTGATAACAGATACATCTAGGGACAAGCTGGATGAGCAGGCACATACTACATGATTGGTTATTCACATTCACACCTATTTCACAACAAATGTGTGGCTTGAGCTGGGGATATGAAATTTAATATTTTTCAAAATTAGTCTAAAAGCAGGGATGCACACATTGTGCAAGGAAATAAAATACACTTTCTGTAGTAAGAACATAAAAAAAGGTACACAAAAGGAACAGGACTTGTTGATAACTATACAAATGAACTATGTGTCTAATTAACTGACCTAATGATGGATTTCCAGGGATGATTATATTGCACATAACTGTAACTAGAATCCACTTACATTCAAGAACAGATGCTGTACATAAGCTTTAACTCAAGTAACTAGGTAAGACCACGCATGAAAGAGATCCATCAATGTACAACATAACTAAAAACTTTTTGAACTAAACAGTCATGATCAAATTTGTTCTTTGTATTTTCCAGCAGCGTTACTTCATTTGGCAGTTTATTAACAGTATAGGGCTGTGCCACAGGTTGGGTGGCTAGTCACCATCTTCCCACTAAAGTGGCCTGGGTTCCGGGTCAGATCATGTGGGATTTGTTGTGGACAAAGTCGTAACGGGGCAGGTTTTCTCCAAGTACTTCGGTTTCCCCATCCAATATGCATTCCGACTGCTCCACAAACATCTATCATCTGGGGCTGGTACAATAGGCCAAACAGAGGCTGTAGTACCAAGTGAACTCGGTCTAACCCCACAAGAAAAATAAAAACAAAACAAAAAATATATATATTAACAGTATACTATTTTTATATACTGGATTTCTGCTAAATCTGGAACTAACGTATAGCTGGATTTTTCGATCCACTGTTTTTGTTAAGATATATCACAGCACATACAGTGTAGATAAGCATTCTCTCACCTGGATCTGTGTGGAAGCGAGACAAATCAAGGGCTTTCAGGTCAGCATTATAACGTTTCACCATTGCTGCCTTTATTTTTTCCTTCAGGGTAGAATTGAGCTCCACATGTGGTAACGCCGGCTTTACTTTTATCACCAGCTGAGCAAACAGACAGACAAAATTGTTTAGAACGATTTATACATGTATTTGTTACACTAAACTCACAGTGATGAGGCATAAGCTATAATCAATACAACATTCACAGTCAAGAAAGATTCACTTCAGTATATGGCAATATCTAAAAATCTTACTGAAGTTGTTTTTTTATCTTCAGGGCATTCATAGATCAGAAGTTAATTCATAATAACTTAATTTCAACTTCAGAAAATCTCACTACAGTGGATTATCTCTACTTAACATTTCCTGTGTTAAAACCTTCCCTAATTTAGTCTTGAATTCAATTTCTAAAGTCGAACATCCACATCTCACTGTTAAACCTCATTCACCTATAATTACTTAGTACAGCGTTTCTGCCAGCAGATGGTAGCAAGTGTGATGTTCAGAGGGAAAAATAAGCTTTAACATTACCTAAATCTCCTACAATTTTAAACTAACACGCGAAAGTACTTTTGGCTTTTCTATGCATAACAGCATTTACTGCAAGCAGTCTTACCATTTCCAGCATGCAGCTCTATCACAGGGTTCGGGAATCTATGGGTTAAAGCTTTGCCAGTTTAAAGTTCCATTTTATACTATGCTACAGTAATATTAAATGCAGATTTCACTCAATTATAACACTGATGATCTGCTGGGGTTCTATCTGGTGACATGATAAACTGCTCCATATGTAAAGGGAGAGTAAGATCAATTTGAAAGAGGTTATTCTCCCCCAAAATTCAATAACACTGCTTTTAAAATCATTTATCTAAAGCTGTAAAATGAAAGCAAAGCTATCCAAGACTTATAGCTTTCGATACAATTTAATGCTGGTACTTCTTACAGTCACTGAATTCTGTGATGATGCTTCAAATCATACTTGTCAATCACATCTGCCACCATACTTAAGAAATAGGGATACTTTATCCCACATTCAGGAAATCAAAGAACAGTATCTGTAGAATTATATGACACATCCATTACAATTCATACATTTCTTTGGTATCATGTATAAATGGAATCATTAACACGTGTAAGTGAATAACAAAATGAGTTTTGATGATCAGCACAAAATTCAAACATGTACAAGAAAATATGCATTCATTTGATCCCCAAAACTGAGATATTCATACATCTGTCCCCACAACATACCTTAAATCCTTTTACTGTGATGATCTTCCTGTCAGCATTGTCCAACTTTTCTGCAGCCTCTGAATCGTCAACAAAAAACGAGGAATCTATTCCACGAATTTCATACTGCAAAAGAGAAGTGCCCATAACAAATCAGATCCTACACCGCTATCCTGAGGCTTCTCACTTTTCCTCTGTCCCCCCAGCAACTTTCCAGGAAAGTGCTTCATCCCAAATCCCTTCCGATGCATTATTCATCAGTCATCATACCATTCAACATTACATAACCCAGATACTGTCACCACAAAAATCACAAACAAGTAATCCATCTGAAGTCATTACTACCTCCACAACCTAAAATCCCAAAAATGTAAGCAATGTTTGGTATTTAATCAGTTACAATGCTACAAACTTTTTTGAAAAATGTATAAACCCACAATAATGTCACACACCCCATAACAGAAAACTTATCTTGGATTAAAATTATAACCAGTGAAAACGGTAACAGAAGTCATATAAGTTACAATTGTACAATACCGCAAAAAACTTTACCTACATTTGATACTGTACATAATTCAGTATGTTACCGACAACCAAAATGAGAATTTAATATTTTAGAAATATTTTTTAGTGTTTCCATATAGTCAGTTCCTGTTCTCAAAGAGCTCTGCTATCTAAGTTGCCAGCGCAAACTTATATACATATAAGACAAGACCTCAAACCATTGGAATCAAAAGAAACAATACTAAAATAAGCAGCGAGAATTCTAAACTGAAATAAGCAGTCTCCATTGCCAGCATCTTCTCAGGTCCTCCTTAGTCCCTTCGAAACAAATGCAACAGTTAATCTGAAACAATGCCATGACCACTTTCTTCCATGCCTCTTCTAATTAATTTTTCATTACCATTCAACATTATATGGGACACGCGGTAGCATAGTTGGTTGAGCCACTATGCTACAAGCCACAAGGTCACGGGTTTCATTCCCAATGAGATGGATTTACCTAATCCTTCCAGCTGCACTGTGGCCCTGGGTCAACTCAACCTCTAACAGAAATGAGTACCAGGAATCTTCCTGGGGGGTAAAGGGTGGCCAGTGCATAAGGGTGACAACCTCACCGCCATCTGTGAGCCAACTGTTTAGAAAAAATGTGGGAGCCTTGACGTCTCACAACCTTATGCGCCTCCACAGCCTGTGACAGTGATAGCTTTACCTTTTACCTTCGACACTACATAGTCTGAATTACTGACAGGGACATTAAATAAACTACAAATAAATAAATTCAGTGAAACCCCAATTTAGTCTTCAGAATTACTGGGGTTTTTTTAACTTTGTGCATCATCAAGTATTCTAAAAACCAGAGAACATAACATTTTGGAAATTGGATGTGCTTCCATCCTCAGGTGAGGGGGAAGACATCTAACCAGTCATTCAGTGATCAAGGTTAGCTCATTCTAAGGGACCCAAGAGAGTAGGTGTCACCTCCTCACCAGAGGATGAAAACAGATCCAGTTTCTAAAACACTGTGTTCTCTAGATTTTAGAATAACGGACAATTGACAAAATAAAAAATTCAGCAATTCTGAGCGTTATACACCACTATCAGAACCCTTTAGAATCTATCAAAAATTCAGTGTTTCTGTATTTAGTGCATATGTTTTCTGGTCCCACTTTAAGTCAATATAAACGTATTATTTACTGCTTGCCAAATGTTTTCACATTGGTTTCGTGCTTGGCTTATTCATCGATCCTGAAGATGGGGGTGGCATGTTCCTTCAAAATGTCAGCTGACTTTCAACAAACTACACAGCATTATACAAAACCCTTCAACTGACATTCCTGCCTTATCTCTGCCAGAAACTGTTACAGCACAACCATAAGCTCTGGTGAGTGACATCTCATACAGAATTCACACCAAAATCATGCCACTTGTTGCAGCATTTTATTCTAATTATTCGCTTAGTGGGGGGGTGGAGTCCAACTGGGTCCACTCGGCACAGCGGCCACTGACTCGCCTATTGTAGCCTGTTCCGGGTGATTATGATGATGGAGAATTTGGTGGAATGAAGATTGGCAGGGGAAACAGAAGTACTTGGAGAAAACCCGCACCAGGTCCACTTGGTCCGCCACAAATCACACTTGACCAGACCCAGGATCGAACCCAGGCCGCCACAGTGGGAAGCCAGCAACTAACCGCTTGAGCTATGGCGCGGCCTTGTTGCAGCATGGTGGCTTGATTCTCAGCAGAACATGATTCAGAATTTACCTCATATGTTCTTAATTATTTTAGGCATGAATTTCAAATGACTGATTTACATAACTGCACTCATTTGTGTAGAAACAGTTCCCTGAACTGCTTATATAACTGTATACAGTGAGCCTTATGAGATGAACAGTCTCTTGATGAAATTTTGCATAAATCTTTATTTTGTACAACAAAAGCCACTCCCCAAGAGGTTCATTAAATAGGGATTTCACTACAATCTGTTAATAAGGTAAAAGATAAAGTCATCGCTGGGGTTAATTAATTAAGCACCATGCAATGATATGTATGGGGGAGTTCCACCTTTCTTAGCCTCAGCACCAGAGCCAGATGAGTGGTCAGGTTCAAGCTCCTGCCACTTTACTCTAAGGAAACAGCTCTTCATATTCATTGTATGGGAGGCTGTTTGGGCCCCAGAGCTAGTCTGGATGCTACACAGAAGAGAAGAATCTCTTGCCCCTACTAAAAATGGAACCCAGTCCTCCACAGTCCAGTCCATAGCCTAGTCACCGTAACGACTGTGCTATCCCACTTCCCCTGTAAACTGAAACACTGATTAGCAGTAACATATCGAGCAAATGACAAAGAACTTACATTGAGTGGAATGAACACTGTTGGTGCAATGTGGGCCAGTAATATCTTCAGTATGTACTCTTTAGCATATCTGCCACCATGAGGAATCTGAAAGCAAGCACATCCAATATATTAATCAAAATGTGCTAAAAAAACTAACAGGGTTTAATATCTCCATTATAAATAACATGTTTAGAACATTATAACTGCATATTACAAATACAACAATGAGTGACTTACTGTTATTTTGTACCAGGAAGTTGAGCTCTCTGAAAATTTTTTTGAGTTGAAATGGACTGATGCAGGTGGACTGCGCCGACCTGATCTCCTCCTGCTGGCTGATCCCCTGCCACCTGCATTCATACCACCACCAAAACCTCCTCCTGCCTGATTCCGACCCCTTTCGACATATGGGTTGCTGAAAAATTCAAGACGGTGCAATTTTTACCAGTTTTTAAAATAAGGGATAACATATCTAAAAGTCTTATTCTGTTACTTCATTAATACCTCATGCACCTTTCTTGGCAATGCTGATTTCTGTCATGCTGAAGAATTATCCCACCTGAGCATTCCCTATATGACCAGTCCTAAATGGATTATCAAATTATTTTCATGCCAAAATGTTCATCAATTGTGCATAAAAGAAAATTCAGTTCATGAATATTAATGATATTCTTTAACTTATGAGATAGCATTTAGACTTCAAGTGTACTGCCCAATAGCCTGAATTCTTAAAAGCCTTTAAATGTTTGAAACACAGCATTTAAAAAATCCTGACATTATAACCTCCAAGACCATACTCTTTGTTGGAATCACAGTTAATGTAATGGGAATGATGTTTTCAGACATAGGAGAATACTCTGGAGCTGCGACTTTCTGCAAAAATCAACAGTTCATAAAAACATGATTTCACTGTCACCAAAAGGCACTAAGGCATTCTAAGATACAGCTAAAAACTGAATATAATCGCCATAAAACTACATACTCAGAACAAAACAAAAGAAAAAAACCCCGTGGCCTGTAGTCCACAAGTAAACTATACCAACCAAGCGACCAACACTTGTCAGCTAAGTTAGTGCCAACTTTTATCCTCACGAGGCTCAGTGGACCCCATTCCATACCCACTACTTCTCAGAAAAACTGGTAGCGCCGGGAATCGAACCCGGGACCTCTGGATCTGTAGCCACGAACTCTGACCACTAGACCACAGAGACAGTTCAGAATATGGAACAAAAATTAAAAATAGAAATAAATCTTTAACTTCTCCTTAGAAAACAATTATGTCTCTCACATGTCAAAAAAAGACAGTACTTACAACCGTGTACTTCTTCCACTTGAGCCTTGCACACTCATATCAACATCATCATCAAGTTGGGAACGGATAAGTGTGATCACATCTCGTCTTCTTCTATGTTTTCCTATGTGGTTACTTCCAGGTTTAAAAGATACCCTCCGAATAGCATCATTGACACGGTCATCATGCTCTGTAAAGCAGGAGACCATTTACTGTGCATATAGATATTACATTGGCCTTGGACAATCCACATGCCAAATGTATATAATCTCTTTTGGAACATTAAATTTTAATATAATGATGAAGAAAACCTCAAACGGGTTTTAATTACCCTGTGATTTTTTTAATCATTGTGAAACAGAATATAACTTTCTCCAAAAGAATTCTACTTTCAAAATATTAACAAAACTTCAATCTCAAATATTACAGCTCTTTGTAAGGATGCCACATTCATCTGAGGTAAAAGAAAAGCAATAATAGCCATTAAAATACCTTAAAACTTTCCTAGGTTACACATGATTAAGTGCCTTCTAATTTTCCATACAATAAATGTGCAGCAAAACTTTCCTGGTATCTGTCAATTATTCAGATCTCACACAATTCTTTTCCAAGAAATGAAGAAGTTTGTGTTTATGTGACCACACGCTTCATAGCTTCATAGCAATATACAGATGGGTACATCAAGAGCTCATGACAGAAAGACAAGTGAAGTATGACTTGAGGTGCTGGTTACAAAGAGTTCTGCTTTCTGGGATATAATGCTGCACAGTCCACTAAAATTCAACTGATATTTTGGAGGTGTAACCGATCACCAGTGGACTTGAATGTGTGAGGTTTTGGAGGGGAGGTGCCTACGTGACGATAGCACTGCATTATTTCGTATGTGCAGTTTTGTAGCTGGAGTGGGGAATGATGTCATGTAGGGTGTGGTTCTGAGAAGGCTCTCAGAGCGACGCCAAGCCAGTAAAAGGACTAACAAAGAGGCACTCCCCGAGAGTGGAGGTACTAGCTTGTTTTTGTCTGTATAGAATCGCCAGTATAGGCGGCACTGTGTCAGTGCTAATACAGCCAATAGTGAGAAATGTACAATTAAAAACGATATATCAGTGTTTGTGACAAGAAAGGAATAATAAGTAAATTAAACCTAGGTGGTGTAGCCAAGGTTTTGTTGCATTGAAGTGTCTTCAGAGATAGGCCTGTCATCGACCTGAGAAAAGATCCATGCATACCATAATACTAAATCCAACCTAATAGCTTCCTAACCCAGATAACAAGAAAAGGGTAAGGTGGACGGAGCGGTAACCAAGAGAAAGCCGAGGCAACTACGAGGAGGAGAAGAGCGGCCGGAGCAACGGGCAACAACGGGCAACAACGAAAAGAAAGAGAAGGGACGGCGTTAGAGGAATATGTTGTCTCCATTTTCAGGGCTGAAAAGTCAAGCAAGATACAAACATGAAGCATGCAGCAAACAAAGCAAGCTTCAACCCTGGGGATGGCGGTGACATGTTCCTTCGAAACATCGGTTGACTTTCATTGGACTAAACAGAATTACATTCCAGACAAATGAATTCTTCAATATAAGTACTAAAGCAAGATCTAAAAGTTTGTGTGTACATTGGTACAAGTATTATGTTTGTGGACATTATCCATCATCTTGTCTATATCTAAACACCATCCTGTTTCTTTTTCAAAACACAACATTTCGAAGACTGGACTCTGTCCCCGTCTTCAGATAAAACCTACTCAGTTGGGGCCACTAGATAGAGCTAGTCCCTATCTCCAGACAGTACTACAGGTTAGTTACATATTTACTGAATTAGGTAAAAATAGTAGTAATGCATTAGTGATCCTGTTGTGGGTTGAATACAAAAGAATTCAGTTTGTGACCTACATCAGGTAGCAAAATATTCAATTATTCAAAGTAAGCTGTGACTTGCATTAACTGCCTTAAAGTTATAAATAAATGGAAAGGGTGCATCAGATAACACGTTACTACTTTCATCTTTGAAAACTGTAAAATCAGTTTCCCCGCCAGAAACGTGAAATAGTTCCTAGCAGCCTCTTTTCACCCTCTCACTCTCTGATCCAAGGTTGGTTGTTTAGTGCTAATTTTCCCACACTACCATACCTGAACAATGTCACACAACAATGCACTATGATACAATACTTTTATTCAATATGCAAACCCAGTAACAAAGCGTCAAGTTTCCTGTGGGTCACTTTACGACACTCCCACCCAAAATTGTCAAATGGCATGACAACAGGAGGGACTCAAGAATCTGGAAAGAACTGGCCATGACTTGATACACTAACCCAGAATTTTTATGAAGGGACTGAGGAAAAGCATGAAAAACCTTCCGTTAGGGTGGCTGGTGTCCCAGCTAAGGTTGGAAGCAAGAGTCAACACAATTCACTTCTATGCTAACCTGTTCAGTAACAAAGCACCAAAATCACAGTTTCCATTTCATTCACTTCACTGCCAATTTTGATACCATTAATTTTACTGATATATTACCTATATTAGAGTCAGATGTAAATCATCATCAATGTATACCTGGTTTATTTCTTATGCTGTTAATACCTATATATATATATATATACACAGTAGAACTTGGTTATAACGTCATCAAAGGGACCTAAAAACAGTGTCGTTATAAACGAGTGTCGTAACCGAAATGGGCACTTCCACAGTAGTTATGTTAGTCACGTAAAACTCTACCAAAAACCGAGTTAAAAATGTTGCATTTTTTAGTGAAATCCGTAGTTAAGTACAGACTAACATAACATTAACGTGGAATTGCCCAAATGTGTAATATCAAAGACATATTACAGCGCTTTTCACTGACAATACACACAATATTTCACGAATCACTTTAACTTTCTCTTCAATGCTTAAAACTTTCCTTTTCATTGCCATTTTTTCGCTACTGCACTTCTCTGGGTTTAGGCAGGAACACTATAGGGTAAGTAGACAAT